GTTAATAATCTGTAAAAATTTATTGGAACGACGAGGGTAAAATCAAAATTTCCATCATTAATTTTCCGGCACTGCACTATTCTTTTGCCTTAATCAGCGTGGGTAGACGACAGGTTCGTGATGACATGGCAGTGCATTAGTGATTCCAGTGTCATTTGAAGCCATTACATTAAACAGGAAATGCGCACTCACATCAAATGACAAAGCACACTCCAGACTAATCTCCTGACTCTTCTCGTTTTGGAGGGTAATTAAGGTGGATCTTCACCTTTGGCGCGATGCATTCTAAAATGGTTCATGGTTTGGTTTGCCACCGAAGAGACGAGGATGAATATTTTTGCATGTGAGGAAATCAGTAACAACTCCAAAAATTGGAGAATTTTGTTTTGAATAAGTTCAATAAGCGCGAGGAAAAGTGGAGCCTGAGGAAAAGAAAGGCCTCATCGTGTTTTTCTGATGTAAAAAAGATCTAATATCTCACTATATGTGCTTTGATTGAACATTGCATATGGTAAACCTATTTGCCTGATGTTGTCAACTCGAGAGGCGCCTTCAATTTTGCTGAATAGGCAACAAATCTGCCTAGGAGTGCGAATAGTTATCTATACAAAAAACGCCAAATTATACAGCTCAAGCTTTGATTGAACGAATGAACGAAATAAACTTAGCGGTAGAAATCGGGGATTTGAAGTTCGCCTTCAAATTTGCGCATAGGCAACAAACCTATCAAGGAACACGAATAGAGTTATCTCCTCTTAGACTACTCATTTATTTTGCTTCATCAGCTGCGAGCTCGTGAGCTTTTCATTCCCTCAGCGACTTCTGTGAGAGTTGCAGCTCGCAAAATTTGTTTGCCATTTATCAACAATTTAGAGCATTTTGAGTATTATAAACAACAATTTAGAGTGAATCATTTGAAATTGGACCGCAACTGAAGCAACTTATGAATCATTTTCGTTTTTTTTTTTGGTCCTCATTTTACAAAAAGTAGGAAGGAGGGGGAGGGGGCTTAGGATCTGATTATGTCAGATTGGCGTAAATTCTAGATGCAAAAGTGATAAACCCATTCTATAGAATGAGCGAACAGCTAAATTCACTCGAGTATATGAATATATAATGAGGAGAACTCGTCCTTTCGTTGACAATGAACACGCGAATTGAAGGTGAGTCGTAATGACTGGTCTTTTAGTCCTGTGGGATTATATTGGGACGCTCTAAAATTAAACCAATATCTCGCTGGACTGCATGTGTTAAATACTCCTTTCTCTGATAATTAGAGTCCAGCGTTGGTAGAAAATGACATTCCTTTGCTATTTTACCCACGATATCGGAAACTCAAATCATTCATTAGTTCCATACTCCTTGTCTGTTAGACCTCCACGCCTTTACTACACGCAACATTGAATAGGCTCATTTTACGGGAAAACATAACTGACGTTACAATAGGTTTTGATAACTACATATTTTGTGAAGCTAGGAGGCCGTTCATATATGTACGTAACTCTTTAACGAGACGAATGGGTCCAAGCCTGTGCTAAGGGTGCCTTTCAGGAGAGAAGGAGGGGTCCGTGACTGCAAAACGTAACGCTTGGCAATGTATTGTTTTACTTTTTTTAGAGCGGGGTTCTTTTTATTTTTAGCGTTTCAATTTAATTTATTTTGAATTTTCCTTTCAGTTTCATCATTTTATTTAATCCTTCAAATTTTATGAGGAAAACATGTTTGGACCACTCTATTCATTTTACCTTTATCTTTTTCCTAATCTCGTATCTTTGTTATTTTTTTCGCAAATGAAAAAAAAAGGAAAGGAATACCTGAAATTTCACATTGTTACGTGGTTATGGAGGAGTTGAGCTGAGCGTTGCTTATTATTTTAAAGAAAGAATAGAATTGTGTTACATATCTGTTATGGGAGGAGGGACGGAGTCAAAGAATCCGATTTTCAACGTTATGTATTCAACGAACGGCCTCTTATAGGAAGATAATTAAACTCGAAAGGATCCATGCAAAAATCAACTCTGTTAATCGTAAGATGAAAATACCGTGCAGTGCTTGACATAACCTTCTGAATATTCGTGTTTTTAATTTTAGACACCCGATAGATATCAAGACCGATCGGACCTTCAACTGCGTGATAAATAAAATAATGAATTGATCCACATTTGTATTTAGATCCTAACTCTTGTTTGTGAAAATCGAGTCCGTCTGGTAGGATTGAATTTTTTCATGTGGCTTTAATATTTGTGCAAAAAGAAACCAAAAGAATTATTAAAATCCCCGAGAGTGAAAAATCAACTAAAAATTCATCAAAATGTGTGACGCACTTGTCTGGACTCAAAATTATTTGAGAGAGGTCACATCAAATGGGGTAAGATTTCATTGTATATTATGCTTTTGTATTTTCGTGATCATATTATATTCGTGTTCTTGCTATATTTTCACGCTACATAAACATGCATATTCTTTCTTCCGCAAAAAGGAATAATCCAGGAAATTCCACACAACTTCATGGAGGTTCAATCATTGACACTTTTTGAAGTATGTTAGAAGTTTTCTGAATAATCGTCTCGGTTTCTATTGTGCAGATTCTGTATTAAACATTATGATTTTTTGTCATTTTATCATGTTGGTTATACGAAGGTAATATTTTACAGATACTAGCCATTAAAAAAAGAAAAAGGAGACAATTCCTTCTGAGATATTATAATAAGAACGGCAATAATGATAATGTACCTACATTTTTGGGGAGAACCATCTATGTTTGCATCCAAAATTACTGACCGGGAAAAAAATGGAAACTTCGGTATTATCCTATTCTCACAAAATGTCGTGTTGAACGTTTTCAGACAATATACTCAGTCGTAAATTTTATGAATTCGTGAGTTCCAAATACTTTAATCAAAAAACTTGCCAGCCTCTCAAAATTCAACAATGCCTCCAAAAAAAAACCCATAGCTGCTACCATGATTTTCAGTTTAAAAAATACTCGACTATTCGTCCACAAAATGTTTTAAAAATTATCATTAGAGATAAATAAGCATTGATATTTATTTCATGATCAGTCATTTCCCTCAGCAAGACAACACGGGTAAAGGAAAAAATTCCCGATTTTTTTTATTGGTTGCAAATACGACTGTCAATTATCGACGACCTGTCATCCACCTTGCCATTTTTTAAAAGGGCTCGCGGTATTGTATTCAATCAGTCTGCACGGAATGAATCGATGGGTGTTAAAATCGAATAAATCCATCATCTGAAGAGTCGTAGAATACATGCATTTTTACAGAACTCAGGGTTCGTCCAAGAATGAACTTGCTAGAAATGTACAACATCGACCGACTAAAATCCGGCAGGTCTCCATTACAATCATGTAACAGTTCACACTGCATTATTCCACGGATGCCTCAATCAATGGGTGATACTCACGCAATAATTTTCCTACGCATCCGATAAGTCTCGGCACTCGTCAAAGCTGAGTGCTTCGTCAAATCGTAAAAACTAATATCCATGCTAATAAAAACTCATCGGCTAATATTCCCCTGCGTGCGTGTAAGTCGTTTCCGTTTGCACACAGTCAAACTATACTCACTTTAATCTGCTCGATGGATCTGTTTACATTCCTCAGATCTGTAAACATTTTGGTTCAACCAGGCTCACGTTATGCTGCAACGGCCGCTCCATAGTTGGTGGATTACGGGAAATACCCCAAATTTTTCCATTTGAATCAATGTAATTGGTCGGATTGAAGTAGAAATTGGTGACCCTTGGCCGCACTCCATTGGTCCATGGATAAATAGATGAGGATGAGGTCAACTAGTAGTGAGTCAATGTTCGACGAATCGCTGTGACTGCTAGTTCACTTGAGGCAGTTCATTCATGTTTTTAACTTAAAATATCTCGTTGCACGGGCTTCAATTTCCGTAACGTTGTTTTTTTCAAGTTCCTCTCTTTCGTATTAGCCTGGTTGTGTGATTATTCTAAAGATTTACAATGTGAGTTATGTTATGTGTTTTTTGTTTTTAAAAACTCTAAATCTTAAACATTCTTGCCGAAGCGGTTTTTCCAGGTGGTTCCGTCGTGTCGCAACGTATGCGAAAACTTTGCTTTAAACACTGCCCAATTCGATAAAGTGAAAATTTTGGATTATTGCCAAATTATTTGGTTTAATTATTAGGTTTCGCTTATTTTTTGTTTTATTAATTTATTAATTTTTAAAAAAAAATTCTTGTTTTAAAATACATTGAAAATATAGGCACAGTTTCTGGTTTTTTTTTTTCGAAAAATGGCCAATCCTATAATAAAGTTCAGAACTTTCACCCCGCCCCACTCAAGGACCGAAAAGTTTCATGTTTTTGGGTACGGGAATCTGTTTTGGAACTGAACAACATCCACTTGAAACGTATTTTCAATTCGCTGATTACATCGGCTGATAACAGTTTTTTTACATTTTTATTTTTTGCAAGTCAATTTTTGGAGTTGGACACGTTTCAAAACTAACGGCTCAATTCAAAGTAAGAAGTAGATCAGCTTTAGGCGGTCTACCCTTATTTTAGCTCCTTTTCATCATACACGTTGTACAGCTACAGCTAAACTGGCAAACTTAGTACCTATACATGTTTCTTTCGCGAGAGGCCAACAAAAGCAAAACAGTAATTTCCACCATTTTATATATTCTGAAATATTTGTAATCAATTTCGTTTAGTGTTCAAACGTCACCTACGGATCTAGGGATATACTTAAAACTTTGAAACCATCTCGTGCGACCCTTTCCCCTGAAATTTTTATTCATTTCAAAGGATGTGATGGTGAATTTTAGAGTAAAGGATGGTTTAGAAAGATACCTTTCCAACACACGCGTATACCAGTTAAATAGGACAAACAAGAAACCATTCTAATATATCCTGAAAGATTTTACTTCATGCTTTTTCTTTTACAAGTGTATGTATGAAGTCAATAATTTCAATGTGACAATTACCGTGGGCCTCTCATGCGTGTTACAGATGGCCTGGCTATTCTGTGGAAAATGCACGAGCAACGCAAGACTGGACGACAAGGTAGCAGTTATCACAGGATGCAACACTGGCATAGGAAAAATAACGGCAATGGAATTTTGCAAAAGAGGTATGTTGTCTCTCATTTCTCAATTTTTTCCCCCCAATGACGATTTGATTCCGGAAAAATACCGAAATTTGTTCCTTGTTTGTGACTAATGCGCCAATGCGGAATGGTGAAAAATATGCCCAAATACTACAAACATGTTACATTTAGTTCATATGGATATCTCTCCTAAAATAATTTGAATTAAACATATACTTTTTAATTCCACCATGCATTCGTTATAATGATGATTGAGTGCAGCGTCTGAAACGCGCACAATTAAGTTTAGTAATATTATTTAAAATATTGATTAAGGGCCGCGTTCATAAAACACGTAACGCTCTACATATGAAGAGGAGGCGTTTAATCCTGGGCTGCACGTGCTTTACAGGGTTGAGACGAGCGTTCAGGGCTACATACGTAACGCTAGAATGAGCGCAGGTTTTTCTAAAATCAAAGATAAAAAATTAACGCGAGGTGCCCTCGTAAAAGTTGGCAGTAGAATCTGTGTTCCAAAATACCATAGACCTACAGCCGGCTGAAAGATTTCCAATAGCTTCTATAGCCGGCTACACAATATCTTATAGTCTTTTATAGCCGATGGCGATTAAGCAACTCACAGTCAGGCGATAAAGTATATGCTAAACGTCACTAATTACGGATGCTAGGACTTAGTGAGTTTTTGGATCACTGCTCTCGTTTGGGCCGTAATATCTTGATTTATTTTGCGAGGAAAGTTCCGTACTATTGATGGATGCCTGCCATTCCTAATATATTAGAGCGTCTTTAGTTTCGTTTGATACTGTGCAATACCTCTGGTGTGAAATGGTTGCTTCAAGCGCCGTGGCACGCTGCGGTGCGGCAGGCGGGCAGCCAGCGCGAAACGCGCATTGGCGCCTACAAACCTAACAGGGATACTTCACGCGTTGCGCAATGCGTGAGGTATCCCTGTTAGGTTTGTAGGCGCCAGTGCGTCGCCGCTCCGCTTTGTGTTAGGCTCTAATATTTAATCTGCCGGAGTCAGCGTTATTCAACTCATGATTTTGAAGTGTTTGCACATCCTATATGGCTTATTCTCGTTTTAATTGATGAAAAAAAATATGAATTAAAGGAAAATATAACGTGTGTTTTGTAAATATTAAGGTGGTTCCGTATCAAACTTAATGATTTCCAAAGCACACAAATTTCTACTTAATTTCTTATAGCCTTTTTTAATCGATGGCGAAAAAGCAACAGCCAGGTGATAAAGTGTAAAGCCCGGTTATAGGAACTATAGCCCGGCTGCATAATTTTTTATCGCTTCGTATAGCCCGGCCGTATGATTTTCTCCGCATTCTACAGCCGAATTTCTGAAGCCTTCTTTAGCCGGCTATTAGAATTCCTATGGTGTTTTGAAACGCAGCTCTTATCGCCAATTTTTATCAGGGTGGAAATTTGGCATTCAAAGTTGATCACAAAACGTTATTTTGAGGGGGGGGGGAGGGGAGACGAACGGAGCTGTAAGTAATTTATTTTAGGGGGATATCAGACCAGACCTGTTTTACGAGTGAGTTACGAAGGAGAAAAAAGGGAGAGGTGTCAAAAACCATATTTCTAGCGTTACGTGTTTTATGAACGGCGGCCCCCTATTTCCAGTGGAATTACAATCTCACTGTATTGCATGTAAAAATTGAAAAGTGCGCGTACAGCTTAGTTCTTGGTCCCACAAGGCCACAACATCATTTTAAATTTTTTTTAAAAGGGTAATAGACCCCAAGTAATTTTTTAGTTTTTGATGTCAGTTTGAGGGAGTGTGTAAATGTGTGTTTTTTCTAATTGAAAAATATGTCAAACCGTGTGCACAATCATGCAAAGCTCAATTCATTCACGCTACCTATTTTCACAGCTGCGTCATTTTAATCACACATCGGAGGAGACCTGTCTGAGTAGGATTTCCAAGAAATCAGCAAATAAAGCTCGAACGTCTCTTTACATTTTTTTTTTTATTCGCTCATTTGACGTCGCCGAATGCAAAAAAAGTACCAGGAGCAGTATACTGTCGTGCCAAGGAAGAACGCCGTATGAACGTTCGAGAGTTGCCAAATTTCCCCGGATAAAACATGAATTTTTGACGAAATTTATGTACATTTTTCCTTGACATTTTCAGATATTTTAGATTAACTTGCAAACAAAATAGGCTGAAAAATTGGAAGAAAAATATTTACAATTTCCTCCAATTAATTTGTATTTTATCAGAGGAAATTAGGCAACGTCTGAAGGTTCATACAGCGTTTTTCCTTAGCATGGCAGTATAGTGCCTGAAAAAAGTCGCTCGGCTAATTTTTAAATCCATAGGACAAGACATGTTCATCGAAAATAATTGATTTAATTCTATAAGTAAGAAATCGAGAATTCTGGCGTTGTCCTTTGCGGCCCTCCTAATCATGTAAATAACTCTATAACGCAATTAACGGCCTTATAGAACAATTCAGTATCAGAGGCAATAAAATAAGTTATACGTATATTTATAATTGCTACGGATAGTGTGTGATGACTCTTGATGCTTAAGTTAAAATGAGAAAAAGGAGAAGCAAATCTTCCATCAACAACAAACATGATTTACGATTAAATGGCTTGATTGCACGCACCAGATACCAGCGCTTCAGGTGTATAGGTCCATGCGGGGAGTCAGCGAACATAGATATATCTCAGAAATTTTATTAAAATATTGGCTACCTCTTAAAATTGGCAAAAATGAATTTATTTTGCCCAGAATCATATCTTAGCCGTGTTAACTCATCAGCTGATGTATTCCTAACCTAGTATTATTAAATAAACTCGTAGTTGAATGTGGAATGTAGGAGTCGTCCCTTTCTTTGATTGAGTGTTCCACATAATGGTGACCTCGACGTGATACCTAAAAAAAAAGTTCGTTGTGCACTGATGAAGATATGAAGTAGGCGCTCGCCACCATATCCTGAAAAAAAATAAATACGAAAGTACGAAGTAGACGCTCGTCACCGTACATTCATAGTTCAGCATTGTGTGCAGTAGACGCTTGTCACCACACTTACTGAAAAAATAAATAATTTACCGGTAAAAATCAGGTGCAGGTAACGCAGTAGGCGCTAGCCACCGTAAACCGCACCACCCAACGTGCCCTCGTGCCGTTATCAGCGCTTTTAAGCCCGTGCCCTCGTGCCGTGGACTTAACCTCCAATGAGCCATTGTGCCGTGGAAAAACAAGGCCTTGTGACGGCTTTCAGCCGATAATAAATAAAATGACGGCTTTCAGCCGATAATAAATAAAAAGACCTATCTAAGCGAAAGTGCATTTAGGCATCAAAGACCTATCTAAGCGAAAGTGCATTTAGGCAAAAATGACGGCTTTCAGCCGATAATAATAGAAAAAAAGACCTATCTAAACGCGAAAGTGCATTTAGGCATAAAAGACCTATCTAAGCGCGAAAGTGCATTTAGGCACAAAACTGCGGAAGGAAATGCTAATGCTAGAAATGCTAGCATTTGCTCTCTTCAAGCAAAACCCAGCGCGAATGAAGCAGAAATCTTAAAAAAAAAAGAAGCTACAGAGGAGTTGAAAATGCGAAAGGAAAACATGGAATATCAACTGCCCAGATTTGTGAACTCTATGGAAACAACTTCCGAAACAAGCTCACCTGAGATAATAAGTAAAATAAAAGCCCAGTATACCAGTTGTACCAACTTGATTTTTGAATATTTAAAAGTAACAGTTGCATTAAAGCACCTACAGAAAAATGTGTGGAATCCTGAGGAGATAAACTCCTGACTCAACAATGCATGCAATGACTGCATTGGATGACAATGTCCCTAACCCTGACAAATTTGTGTGTCATTTTCAATTGGCTTTTGTAAAGAAGAGAGAATGAGCACAATGGAGAAATAAAGCGAGTTTAACATAAATGAATTTTTATGTAACTTAGCATTATTGTGGATTAATTATTATGAACTTAAACACGTGATAAATTAACACATGGTGAAAATAATACGATATTCATAATTCCTTAGTAAATTATTATACCATACGTAAAAACCGATTTAATAGCGCTCTACTTAGAAATCGAATTTCCAAAAATTGGAATTTGCTTTTTGGTGCGAAAGGAAATTATCCAAAATGTATGATGTATTTATACTTTTAATAACCCTCTCGAATAGAGCTGAAAGATTTGAGGAATTCATTGTAAGGAAAAGTAAAGACATTTAGAAAAATGTTTAAAGATTAAATAAAAAGCTGAAAGACAGTGGAAGACTAATAAATACAGCTGAAATGAGGAGATAAAAGAGAAGTGTTGACAAATGAGTTTGAGTTCAGTGGTTTACATAATAAGAATGCAGATCTTTTTGGATCGAATGTTCAAAAATGATGAATGTTTGAATTGAGTAAAGCTCAAAAAGTATTTAAAATCTCGTATTGGCGATCAGTAGTATTGAAAGCGATTCTTGCCCATAGTCTGAATTTCTAGCTGTGGAGATGAGATCTCTGGATGAGAAAGAACGTGAATAAGATTTTACACTTACAATTAGTATGGAAACAAGACGGACTAAATTATCCGATATTATCAGACATATCATCATGATCTCAAGTTAATATCAATGTGTAAGATAAATATAGTTCGTTTTTCTGTTTCTGTTGTTATCTGGTTTCAGATAACCTACTAAGAACTACGAGCAAAATATAATGGAACTAAACCGAGCCTATCCTCTGCTGTCCCGTCCGTCCTATGTTCTCCTGTATTGTCCTACGTATATCCTACATCCTATGCATGAAATTCTGTATGAAACCCTGGCTGAATACTCATAGCCTACTTTGCGGTATTATAACCACTATACCACTCTCCGTAACCCACGCTGGACCCCTGGTGAAATGAGAGACGATGATGAAAAGCAACGCAAAAGAAGAAAATAATAAACAAAAGCAGAAGAAGAAGGAATATTCCTGTATCTCTTTAACTTTAACTGGGTACTTTAACTTTCACAAACATAAGGAAGCGTGCACCCACACTGCAACAATTTTGTTTGGCGGAAATGATTATTCAAGAAGAATAAAAATGTTACGCTTATGTACCCAAATCTAATGATTAGAGTATAACTCAATTAAATGCTGCTGTCTTTGAGCGGTTCTTCCTGTACTTCGGAACTTAAACATTTGAGGTCTGATGTGAAAATCCTTGTGGAGGAAATCAACATCTTGGCAGAGGCACTTGATGACGTCATTCTTCAAAGTACCAACTTGTTCGAAAGAGCCCAAATGGCGGAAGCAGCTCTTTACAGAGTTAGAGATGATATTAGCAGCGTACAAGATGCATATCGACGATAGAAGACATCGTTAGTTCGTTGGTTATAAGGAACAGAAGCAAGCTTTCCTTAACTTAAAACAATCTCTTGCTAAACTTACGGCAGACCAACGAAGGCCCGAAGAAGAATAATGAAACATGAAATCTCAGAAGAACAACTGATCATGAATCCAGCCAAATTTGACGAAGAATTGACGGAGCTTACCAATCAAAATTACCTACCAATTGTGTCATATGGCACTACACCAGAAGCGTCACTTGCAATACTGACGGTCTCTGTGTAAAGCAACATTGTAGAGTGCAACTCACATATACCCAACTAAATGGGTGAGCAATGTAACCAAAGCAATCGAAACAACGAGTGAGAATCAAGAACCCCTTTGCTTCAACAAGAATAATGAAGTGAGAGTAGTAATGTTATGTTTTAGACAGGAGCAGCTGATTGACTTCGCAAAACTTCGGAGAAAGCAACAACAATCATTCTGTCAATGCTTATAATCAGAAATCGATCATTCGTGCACTGTACTCTTTTTCCCTTGCCTATGTTTTTATCCGATGGTTTTTCATATGGTTACGGTTTTTAATGAGGCAGTGCTTCCTGTTGATAATGAAGTTCATAAAAAGAAACTGATCCCGAAGTCCAATTCAAAGTCTCATTTTACTTGAAGTATTGAGAAGTATACAGAATGCTAATGTCCTAATGTAATGTGTTCAATTGAGGAAACCTCAAGGGGGGGAGTATGTTAACTCATCAGCTGATGTATTCCTAACCTAGTATTATTAAATAAACTCATAGTTGAATGTGGAATGTAGGAGTCGTCCCTTTCTTTGATTGAGTGTTCCACAGCCGTTTCATTCCCGCCTATAGACTCATTTGGAAGACCTGACTTAGAGCTGCAAGAGAAAGTATCTGTACGTGAAAATTAAGCATTCAATTTGACCAAATCGGATGTAGCATTTCGTGTTCGGATATTTTTAGCTTTATACCCGGGTTTAAAAAATAAATTCTCCAAGAGGAAACAGCTGAAATGTGGATCCATTTTAAGCCAAAATTTTAAACCGGAATCAGTATTTCAGCAAAAGTTCTACATTTCGATTTTGCCTCCTCCCGTTGTAGTTTCCCCTTAATCTAATCTTCAATTTTTCTTATTTGTGAAATATAGGAGCACGAGTGATAATGGCATGTCGAAACCTGGAAAAAGCTAAAACTGCCGCGGAGGACATCCGACAGCAAACCGCAGACGTCAAAAACGCTGGCGAAATTGTCGTCAAAGAACTGAACCTCGCATCCCTCAAATCGATACGTCAATGTGCAGAGGATATCCTAGCATCGGAAGAATATATCCACCTTCTAGTCAACAATGCAGGTAACCAGTGCATCTCCTTGTTTTGCTCTGATGGGTGTGATTATTCAAACGCAATTTTATGACACGCAATGAGACGTAAATGTGGACGGAGGTGCAAAGGACCCAAATTTTCAACTTTATCATTATTCATAAATTGACACAAAATGATAGCAGAAATGCAAGGCTCTTCGAAACGGGAAAGTGAGGATGGAAAAGATAACTAACTCGGTGGATTGCAGACCCAGGTGAACTTTTGGCGAATATTGATCTAACTTTAATTTATAGTAATAATGACGATTCCACTATTCGCCCTCAATTCAAGAGGTTAATAAAAAAAATGGTAGAAGTTTTTCCTCGTAAGGAAAGATTTCATTTTCTAAGGTGGTGGTTTCTGAGCGCGGACTTGCTAACCTAAGGATATTGAGAAAATCCACTTATGTATAAAAATAAAAAGAAGGCCGCTCTTTTGAAGTAAAATTATGAAAAGCTTATTAAATCCGGGTATGCGTTAAGAAACTCTAGAGGTGACTAATTTCAGGATCCACTGCAGCGGAGTGAGACTTTCCACAGCTGACCAAAACAGGCTTGGAAAGCAAGAAAACAGCAATAATTCATCGAAATTCACGTGTGTGTAGCCCTCTGCTTCTATAACATTCCCTGGACCCTGTCCACGTAGAAGAGCTGGCTATTAAATAATTCCAGCTCTCTTCATATTAGCTGATACTTCATAATTCTTTCATAACCTGTTTTGAATCCGTCGTTACTGAGAGTATCCTTTTAAGTGGGTTGCCAAATTTCAAGTCTGCTCGAAATCTCAGTCCAGTTGAGAGGACAAGAATCTTGCGTTATTTTTTAAAACAATCCGGTCTTGCTATAAAATTGATACCGCGGTTTTGTATTTTTGAGTTGTCTTCTTTCCTTTAGAGTCAGCACAGAAAAATAACCTAGGAATCAGAACGCTGGACCAGTATAGATTTAATTAAAGTTACTATGATTTCGAAAAGAAGAAACTGAAAAGGTAACGCATATAAAAGTCTAGTCGGAAAAGGGGCACAAGGCACATGCGTCACTTTCCGAAAAGTTGAGATATTAGTGGATATGGACTGAACTGCAGGAGGAACACGTGCGTTTTAAATTTTGCGTCTTTACTCCAAATTTTAAGGGACCAAAACAGTAATCACACTTCCAGTTAACTTAAAAAGGGTACTTAACTTAAAAACTGAGATATTTTGGGAGCCGCACCTAAGCTGGTCTGCGCAATTACGTACAACAATATGAATACTATGTTGGGAGGCATTTTCATCATTTTCTGTTCCAGAAAATTAAGCGCTTTGAACTTTTCATCTTCGGAGGTGACCAAAAGTATTACTCTATAGTGTTGAGGAGAAGAAAAATTAAACTTAGCATCACGTAATAATTCAAAATCCAAAATAATCATGGCAGTATCTGAGACTTGATCACAATTTTTTAAAAAAATGGATAAAAAATAAGAATTTGAAGATAAGTTCCTGCTTACAAGGTTAAAGGGCGTCCGAGTTAGTATTATACCCACCGCCGCGGTACTATGAGAGGAGAGGAGTATAAAAGAGAAGAAATTGCGTTGCAAAATACACCCTGCCCGCACAGTCATTTTAAAGATCCAATAAATCAGATTACTCCTTTAAACTCTTTTAGTATGCACGAGAATTCTGTCGGATGGCGAGGGGCCAAACCGACAGGATTTACTTGAGCTCTACGTGCGCCTCGCTGAAGATTTCAACGAATAACTCCAACCAGAAATACGAAGATTTTTCAGGGATTTTTTAAGGTCGTGGCATTGCCAATAAATTCTGTCCCCTTCGACTGTCAAAATCTATGCATCCGTCAAAACGAGCGAAAATAAGTTCAGTTTGTAACAACCTAGAATTATTCTTCTTCATTTGACAAGAAGGGAGCAATGGATCACTAGACAAGGTAGGAATTAAAGGATTCTGATACTTCTTAACCAAAATTTCACGCAGAACACGATTCGTGCAACGGAAATGACTGACACCAACTCCTAACGAAGATATTAACGTTTTTATTTCACATTGGTTACAAGAAATTTGAACTGTCCGCTCACAAAAAACTCAAAACTCTACGTGAGTCAAATCGCGCCCTACAACGGTTTCAGCAATCTTCTCAATCGAGCAATGTTCATTTCCCACCATGCGTTGTTCAAACTATAAGCAATTTGCTATAGCTGAGCCAAAGCGTCAAGATTGAGGTTTGCTAGTTTTTTATATCGCAGAGACTGTCATGATAAACTTTTAGCGCGCGATGTGAATCACGTAGAGCATTGAGTTTTCATGAGCGGGTGGTTTGAATTCACGCATCAAGAATTATTGAATATCTTCGTAAGGAGTTGATTTCGGTAATTTTCGTTGTGCGCATCGTGTTCTGCGTGAAATTTTGGTTAAGAAGCATGTATCAGAATGCTGAAATTCGTACCTTGTCTAGTGGTCCATTCTCAGATTTCTCAGCATGTACAGAGAAAAATTTTCCTGTTGATAATTTCCTCATTTGATTTCTATTTAAGACAACTTATTTTTATTGTTCGGATCGGCTCTTTTCACGACGACGAGAATCCCGACCGGATAACGGGAATTCTGAAACATAAAACCGGAGAAAAATTGCTGAACGTTCCTATAGATGCTCTAGGAAATTTGTCTAAAGTGGTTGGGAAATTTCCATTATTTAAAAAATTTAAGTGAGAAAGGAACTTTTTTAAAGTATTAATTGGTATTAAAAGCTAGAATGGTTTGGATCATACAAAGTTACGAACAACGGGAAATATCGACACATGAAAATGAATCTAATGGATAATTTGCAGGTGGCTGAAATTTGATGAAATTCGTACCGAAGAGAAAACTGCTGAATGAACTTAAAGAGCTGATTTCGCATTTTTTAATAATTTTTCAGAGGTGGGAAATAGTATAAAACAATATTCGAAATTCAGGAAATGCACCGTCTAGTGACGCCATCGAACGGTATTTCAGCAAATTATATAATTTTGACGTATCTCCTCAAATAATTGTTTAATTCATGAACCAAGGCTATACTCTCAGACGAGACAATAATAAATCTGAGTGCAAATTTTCCATTATTTCTCTGAACCATCTCATTTGGATCAGAAAAAAGTAGGTATACTCCAAGAATTTCAATATCAACTCGTAACTTGGCAATGTCCAAATCAGTCCATTTGCAGAGCTCTAAAATTCATACAGAAAACTAACATCCTGGACGTGTTGGCCGTTGAGTCCCTATATTAGCTGATCCGTGGCTTCGCTACCTGAGATCTAACTTGATTTCATAAACGCCTCACACACACACACCCATCTACGGTCTGTCGAGGATAAATACTTTTGAATTTTCATAAAAACACCTGATTGTAATGAGATCTGCTCAGTGTGGCATCGCCGGGTCCTTGAGTACAGCCGAGGTTCAAGGTCAATCAGATCCTGTAATCCTGCTGCGGTCGGGACCAGGTATATAGCTGCTCCTCCATTAATTCTATCAATCAGGAATAAAGAGGATAAAATAATCAGCCCGTGTCGTTAACGCGTCACGCCAGTCTATTTGCTACGATTGACGTGTAAATACAGAGCTCTTTTTGTTTGAATAATGCGCCGAGCTAAACAAACAGCGCGTGGACTCAAGCGAATAAAGTCATCAGCGTTGAAAAGAATGGGATTCCCGCAAGGACGGGGACTTTTGCGATTCGACAAAAAGCATATATTAAAAATTTCGCGGAAAAACGCCGTATGAACCTTCCGGCGTTGCCAAATTTCCTTCGATAAAACACAATTTTCCTGGTAAACTTGTGAATATTTTCCTTCCAATTTTTCAGATATTTTTGTTCGCAATTCACCTAAACTTCCTGAAAATTTCAAGGATAAGTATTCATCGCTTTCCCCAAAAATACAAATTTTATCGAGGGAAATTTGGCAACTCTCGAATGCTCATATACGGCGTTCTTCCTTAGCATGGCAGAATACGACAGTGTCACCAGTTTTGCTCTTAAAGTTAAGGACATAATACCGACGGAATTTGCGATTTTAGGAATGTCCACTTCCACATATTCAGACAGATCCTCGATGCAGACGCAAAGTAACCATTCTGTGCATGCATGGACTTCAAGTACCAAGAAATTGCCTATCGCAGTCATTCGGACTTTGCTATCACTTAGCCTCAAAGAATTTGCCCAAATGCATATTGACGGCGTAAGTCCGCAATCATGCATATCTCGTTTGCGGTGTCTGAAAATATCCGCCTCTGTGTTATTTTTTTAAAGGAGAACAAATTTATATCATTCCTTGAAGTTTTTGCAGAATTTTCTTCACACAGAGAAGAAAAATCACGGCAGTTTTAAAGAATTGCCGTTGAATAGTTTTCCATTTAAAAAATAAAGTGTAACAGGAATTTGTATTCAACAGGACCATTTGAAAATTAATCGGGCTACATTACCTATGCAGTCAGGAGCTACAATTTTGAGCTCATTCGTGTAAACACCTAAGTGCATTAGAAAACTAATGATACATACGTTGTTTTTAAGCCGAGTCAGCAATTGTAGCTCCTAACTGCCAAATTTAGTCCACTTGAATCATATGAACTATGAATCACGCAAATCATAAGAGCACAGCTCGATTTGACTTCATTAATTTTCACATAGTTCCACGTAACCTAAATACGCTTAACTTTTCTACGATCTATAGAGCCGTTTTCTCTGTTTATGCCAGGGAAGCATTGTTTGTGTGTGAAAGGGAGTGAATTATTCTTTTTTCAGTTTTTATTTTATCATCTATGACAAGAACTTGAATACAAAAACAGCACAAGCATCAACACTTTTTAAGTTGCATGATTCACCATGAGGCAAGATCTACAAAAAACGCACGACACATACCATCTTGGATGATTAAATATTGTTGCACAGAGGATGGTGCGTAGTCTACCTCAGAAATTGAAGGCGCAATAGCAATGCGCAGATTCGTACTGATTACACATCTAAGTTTAAAGTCTCAGGTAATTTTTGGCTGTGAGATCCTACTATGATATCCGCGTATAAGGAGTTTGAAAAGAGAAACCTCTACAGTAAAATTTTTTTGCAGGTGTCATGATGTGTCCCCGAGAGCTGACAGAAGATGGCCATGAACTTCAGTTCGGAACGAATCACTTGGGACACTTCTTATTCACCATGCTCCTTCTGCCGAGGATAATTAAGTCAGCACCGGCAAGGATTGTGAATCTCTCCTCACTAGCACACACGTGGGGTAAGTTGTACTTTTTATTTCAAAATACTTGATAAATTATGAATACAAGGTATCCTGAAAGACCTCCAACTTTAACTTAGGTCCTTAAACTTTTGAATAGTTCGAGAGAGAGAGGGAGTGAGAAAGAAAGGGAGAGAGAGGGGAGGGGGAGAGAGAGAGAGAGAGGCGAACCCAAAGGAACCTGTCTTATCAACAATTCAAAATGGCGTTCCGGTTAAGTGAAATTTGCAAAAATTCAACCGGCTGATATTTTGAATTGCCAATAGCTCAAGACTCGCCCTTTTGCGCCAAAAATGTCATTTTTTACACTGTCTGTAACGATGCATCGCATCGTAAGGGTTACGATTTGAAAATGAAAAGGTACGGGGCCTGTACCCCTCCATGAGAGGGTACCCCTAAGATTTTGACCTCTATTCTTTATAGGATTTTCTCCTTTCAGATAGCAGCACTCATAAATGTTGAATTTCCTATTTTTGCAACCATTAAAAAAGGTTAGGGGAAGGAGGAGGAGGTCGTGTTGAAGATCCTGATGTAGCATGATGTTCCCTTTATGACGCAGCACGGTTCGTAAGTTACGACATGGATTGTAGGGAAGGGGGGAGCATGTGCCGGCATAACGCACGAGGTGGTGAGGAAACGAGTGCCGGAGACGCCATGTCTAATTTTTATTTTTAAGCTAAACTTTTGATTAAAATTATGAATAAATTAAATTTAAATTTTAAACACCCTGAAAAAAAACCCCGGCCGTGGAAGCCGTACTTACGGGCTATATAGACATCCTGTCCTCGTCCTGGGCGCAGAGGCCGAAAGTTACGGGTGTAGCACCCAGAGCAGTCGAAGCTACGGTTCTAGCACCCGGAACTTTCAGCCTTTGAGTCTGAAACGGACGGTATATCTATAAAACCCGTAACTTTTTTTGCAGTGCATGATTTAGTATTTTCGAGGTTGAATTAAATAGGAGTTACACAAAAATTGAGGGTGTAAATCAATAATTGGTCTTTTACATTATAGGTGACGGCGACATGCATTTCGATGATATCACTTTGGAGAAGTCTTATTCGCCAACGGCAGCCTACGGGAGGAGCAAGCTAGCTAATATCTTATTCACCAATGAACTTGCCAAGAGACTTCAAGGTAAGCCTATGCAGCACGAGGACTGTTTGCATTACAACCAGCAGTGGCGTGGCGTGCTTTCCGATGTATCGATTGATCTGTCATCCAAACACATGGAAAAGGATCGATTAACAGGGTGTTCGCAACGAACACCTCAATAATCGATTCTTTACCACGGATTCAAATGAGGAAATATCGATAATCGATCATTCACGCCACGCCACTGATTACAACCGTTTAATCCGGATGGTCATTCATGCCTCTTCATTACAGATCCTACTCGCACCAAGGCAATGGTGCGCGATATTAATTTGGATGAGATTTTCCATTGGTATATCACTTTTTGAATTCAGCAGCTAGGGAGTGCAGTGAAAGAGTGGCGGCAGGGGGTTTTAAATGAAATGAGGAGTGCCAACTCAATAGTGGGTTGTGGGAGGACCGATTTTTGTGGTGATTAGACGTCGCAGAGCGCTCAGAGAGCGCTACGAAAGCGATTCTTATGTATGTAGCTACATATAGAAATGGAATGACAGTCAGGCCAAGTTTGGGCGTATACCCTTTTTAAAAGTCCGTAGTAAATCCACGCAAACAATTTCCTTTAAATGGTTATTAAAACATTTCTTGCCACACTGAGTTGCCACAGATTTACACAGAAGAGGAGTCTCTTTCACAGCGCTCACCGGTGCTCTGCGACGCCTAACCACCACAGCGATTATACATCAAGTGGGCTTTTTCTAAGCTTTGGTGAATTCATAACTGAATTTCCTTTATAAATTCCTACTCTTATTTTGTTTGTCCTCTGTGGTAACTTTTTAATTGGTACGTACCCTGGACAATTCCTATTTATAATTTGCAATTCGAAGAGTAAAATTTTTTTGCCCCTTTGTGACACGGGAGTGTAAAATCAGGAACCAATCAGAAATGAACTCCTCATGCCTTAACTCTCAGTATAAAAGGCTACTGCGTTGATTTGACATCAGTATCGAAGTTCAGCTCTGGTTGGATTAGACGGTCCGAATAATCAACATAAAATCAGAATGAGGAAGAGCAAGATAAAAGTAAGACTTGTTTCGATAATAAAAGAGGAAGACGAGACGTTTACTTTGATGAATGAAACCCACCTCCCACCTGTAAAATTAACAATTTCAAATCCGGGTGTTCTGAAGTTGCTCATTTTGTCGCTCCTCCGACGTAAGGGCGTGAACACTTTTTGAGTTGAGCCCTATTGTCCATATACTTGCATGATTTCTAGGGTTTATATGGAATTGAAGTTACGCTTTTACGTCAGAGTAGCGACGATAATTGAGATAATTCTACTGTATCACATCACCGCATGCCTATCTTACAGCGGAGCGCTGTCGATTTAAATATTTTAAAATGAGCTTTTAAGTACATATTAGACGAACTTATGAAAGACCTTGACCTCCACTTGCCGCGAATTCATTCGATTGCAGATTGATGCTCGTCATTTAAATAAGCGAATTCGCGTGGGTAAAAGTTATGATTTAATCGCTTTCATCACGATAATTACTAGATGGTTAGATAGGCACAATCTATAGGTCAATGATTTTCGAGTAATTCAATACAATTTGTAAGAATCAAATGTCTCGTTGCGTCTAAATTCGAAAAAATACCGTGTTCAAGAGCTGACGATACGCCTTGGCAACCGCCTTGATTTTGATATAGTTTAGCTGCAATCAAATGGATGCGACTGCAAATGACTTTTTCTCCATCTTGGAAGCTGTGCTTCGTTATTACTAGCATGATCTCATCTAAAATTGTCCTGAAGAACTTTTTCTTCGCGCACTAACAGGGCGTTTGTTTAAATCAAACAGATTTGCATTTTATTTTATCAATTATCCTTTTAAGAGAGGAGAAATAATTATTTACTTGAAAAAAGGATTAATATTTAACAAACTAAGTGATTTAAAATATTCACTCCTACAGCAAGAGCCTTTATGTTAGTGTCAGTGCTTAGACGTGAGAGATTTAAGTCATGATTGAGTTTGCTTAAAATAAATAGCCAATTTCCTATTTTTTACGGAGAATTTATCATTTTATACAGAGAAATTATCATGAATCGTTTGAGAAATGTCTTTCATAAATGTAATACAATTTATACACCCACATGTCTTACCGGGAACGGCCTCTGCCCAGTAGATATTCTAGACAATAATCATTATAATAAGAGATCCCTATGAATTGTCTGGCTCCATTCCACACAGTCATCATGCATTGATATATTTAAGGTCACCGTTCGGCCTCGGTGCATCGTTTTTACAGATGAGAGAAAATCGAACCACCACTATTTCCTAAGTTGTGGGACTTACTAGCCGAATTTGCAGGAATAATTTGCTCGGTGATATCGAATGTATTAGCAATCTGACTTTGGCTTCGTTTGGTCATGCACTCCAGCTGAAATTTTGACCATAGGATGGGTTTGCAAACTCCTCGCTCATCAAATACCGTATAGTCAGGCTTTTTGAATGAAATATGAGAGGGATATTAATATCATTAAGGATATAAAAAAGCTGTTTTCCTCATTAGATTCATTGCACCCACATAGACCGGTGCCTCGGTGTTTCCTTAAAGAAGCAGATATTGATTGGTAGTGAACATGTCTGTAACTTGAGTCGTTTTCTATGCAGGGTGGTCCGTTCAATTCCGCATTGATGCCTCTACAGAGGAGTGGAGAGGGAAAAAAAATTCGCTCCCATTCACTCCCGCTTGTGGTGGTTTTGTCTCTTATCGCGAAAAATATAGCAAGCGCGCTCATTTCTTGTTGTATTGATTGAGTTAATAATGGTTCCGAATTTCTTTGACCCTTCCATGTATAGAATAAAACTTTTTGGTTCTATGAAAGTCATTCAATTCTTTAAAAACTATTAAAGTAAACGCATGACTAGAGAAAATGTAATAAACACCAAGTTTGGCAGTTATGAGAAGTATGTTGTATCAACGTAAACATTGATAGTTATACGCCGAGATAATTTATGTAGCCGTCGAAAAGCAGTTTTTTGTATCTCTTGCAAAGTTGACAATTTGGCGCTTGTGATATTCTTATCCACATCATGGGAACGATATCTCTCATTGGCATTTTTAAATTTTCAATCAGAGGAATTATTGCTTCAGCTGACAATGAGTCGTTGTGACGCACTGTGACGTCGTGACAACTGCTTCGTTTCTTCTCTTCTTTCGATCCTTTGTACTGCCGTGCTAAGGAAGAACGCCGTATGAACATTCGAGAGTTGCCAAATTTCCTCCAGTAAAATATTTATTTTCAGGAAAGTTATGGATATTTTCCCTTGAAATTTTCAGAAACTTTAGATGAAATTGCGAACATTATTATCTGCAAAATTGGACGAAAAATATTCATAAATTTACCCGGAAATTCGTGTTTTATCAATCGGAATTTGGCAACGCTTGAAGGTTCATACGACGTTTTTCCTTAGCACAGCAGTGTAGCTTCAATGCATCAACAGGATAGCTTAAGACCAAGTTTTCTGTCCGCACTGACGAAAGTGCCTTTAAAAAAATCGCTTTTTGGTCGAAACGAAATGCGCGTGGGTCTTTTAGAAGCTCGAAAATGGTCGATGTATTTATGACGAGCAATGGTTTTTTCCACATCTCTCCTCCCCTTCAGGAAAGAAAGTAAGGATCGGCGTTTTCTGATTTTCTACCCACGCAAGAGGGAGTTTTTTTGATGAAACCTTGGAAATGTTTTGTTCATGCACTGAGCAAGTGCTCGCGTCAATTGTGTAAGCATCTGATATATCTCTATTTGGGCAAGAGCCTGAGATTCGTTCACTTTGAAAAGAAATTACTTCCAGTTTTCCTGAAAGTCATGGAAGAGCGGAGGAGGGAATTTGTCCCTCCGTCAAACGGAAATGGGTGCGTAAACATTTCTTGCGTGAATATAAAAAAATTGTTTGCTCTCGAGGTGCCCTAAATTGGTACGTTGTTTTTGTAGTTTTGTTTTTTGAATTTTAAAATCTACGATAATTGCGGTGACGCATGTGCGTTCTTGCTTTTTTGATGGGCCAAAGCTTATTGACTGTAGCCTAATTTCTCATTTCCACGTGCTACACGGAGAAAAAAACTTCGTGCGTGGGACCCGAAGTTTAGGTCATATGGATCTCTGAAATTTTCGGATTGAGCATCTGAACACTTTAGGTTCAGCTGCTAAGGTTTGGATCGCACATCTGAAACTTCAGTTCTTACATCTGAAGTACTTCGGTTTTTACACCCGAACAACTTTGGTTCTCACATCCGAAAAACTTCGGTTCTCACATCTGAAGTACTTCAGATGTAAGAACTGGAGTTTCAGATGTGTAATCCGAACCTCGACAGCTAGACCTAAAATGTTCAGATGCTCAATCCGAAAACTTCAGAGATCCAAATGACCTAAACTTCGGGTCCCACGCACAAGGTTTTTTTCTCCGTGCAATATCTGGATTGTTATAATTCAGCGAAAACCAAACATCGACGAATATTCCCAGAAATTGGAAAATTCTAAATATGTATACATAAATATAATATAAGAGGGGAAAACGCTAATAATGTGGCCCGAATACTGTAAGTATAACAGGGAGCTTTTTGGCATGATAGCAGGTAACTGTCTTTTTGGGGGTTCCCTCAGCAGAGTCCTCGCCCAGGGAGGCCCGTTTTTCAAAAGAGGTCCGTAAACAATTGTTTTCATTCCGGCACATTTCTCGGGAAGAGTTTGGATTTTGTAACCATGTTTTTTGTCGATTTATTCGTAACCAATGATTCACATCCATAAAAACCATAAATTTGGATTCACAAGGAATCCCTTATTGTCCATTTTTGGTGATGCGAGTACCCGATTTTATTCAAGGTTCCCTAGAGCAGGTCACCCATTGTTTCCCAAAAAACTTGATTCCTCTATCTTAAACTCGATGCATATTTCAATCCTATTTTACACCCTTGTGAATTTTTTGGCAATGCAATTTTTTCATAGGCTTATTTTTCTTATTTTTCAATTTGCCATAGGCACCGGCGTGACGACGTACAGTGTGCATCCTGGAGTTATCGACACAGAACTGTCTCGTCATTTGGACACGGCGATATCCCCAATCGTCAGACGCCTGTACCAAAGCCGCCTTTGCACCATGTTCCAAAAATCACCGTGGCAAGGTGCTCAAACAACTCTTCACTGCAGTCTCGACGAGAAAGCAGGGAAAGAGAACGGTCTTTACTACAGGTAACACATCTTGCAATCAGCACAGAGGGAATAGTTATCATTTTTTAGTCCAGACATGTTCATCTAAAGACATGTCGATACAGAGATACAATGGTCATACACAAACAATCGATGTGTCGATAGTTGATGGATAAAATGAAATGCGCAAGTATATTTTTTTAAACATTCCCGAAACATACATGCCCATGGTCTATACGTAAAAATGACCTAAAACATGGGTCTTAATTTTAAAAAAATGAGAAGCGCGGGTGCATATTAAGATCTCAGAGCAGAAAGGTCATACCACATTTTTCCCCCATTTCAAGGTATCATGTGGTAAGGAAACCCACTAATGTCCAATGAAGTTTTATTTTTGAATTTTTTGACACATATCGACGGTGTAAGTCGGCAATCGCATAACTCGGTTTGCGACGTCGCAGACTTCCTGTCATATTTAATTTTTTAAACGGAAAACTACTCAACAGCCATTCTTTAAAACTGCGGTGATTTTTCTTCTCTGTGCGAAGAAAATTCTGCAAAAACTTCAAGGAATTGATGTCAATTTGTTCTCCTTTAAAAAGATAAGATAGAGGCGGAGATTTTCAGACACCGCAAGCGAGATATGTGATTGCTGACTTACACCGTCGATATGGATCTCCTTCGAAACATGTCGAGAACGTTTAAATCTTTTATGTTTCTCCATTTCTTCAAACATGTTAGTTACAATTATTTTGCTCTAAACTACTAATTGAAAGAAGCTTTTTGATTGGAACTTTAGAAAAATAAGAGGATTCGGTTGGATGCAATCGACGGTGAATCTACCAGACCAAGTATCTCGGTTTGCGACATCGCAGACTTCCTACCATAATTCATTTTTAAACGGTAAAGTACTCAACTTCAAAACTTGAGAACTTCCGCGATTTTTCTTCCCTGTGCGAAGAAAACTCCATGAAAACATCAAGGGATGACATTGATTTTTTCTCCTCCAAAAAGCAAACTAGGAGCAGAGAAATTAAATCACCGCAAACGAGTTACGTGGTTTGGTAGTTTCACCGTCAATATATGAAATTCGGTCAAAAAATAGGAGCATTAAAAAGTTAAAGTACCTAAACATTTTATTCATTCACTGGAGTTAAAAAGCAGTCATGAATCTTTTTTCTGCCTAAGATGGCTATTTATTTGGTAGTTTTAACTCCTTGCTTAAAAAAATATAAATGCAATTCATGGATGCTAAATATATTTTCATGTTTTGAGTGAGAAATTACATTTAAGACCGTACTGCAACAATTTTTTTCATGGGCGGAACTGGGAACTTCTTCTAGGGGTGGCAGAGGGGCATCTCATGAAGGTGCACTGAAAAAAAATTCTCGGCGTTTTTACCAAGGTCCATTGGTACCTTTATCATCTCACTTTTTTTACCAAGTATTCGTAAATTTACCAAAACAGACTAGTAAAGCCTACCTAAAAACCGGTATTTTTACTGTTTTTTTTTTTTCAGGCAAAAATACCACTTTTTTTGGTAATCAATTCCCGGTAACTTTGCCATTTTATCTCGGTAATTCTACCACAGTCGATAAAAAATATTGGCGTTTTTACCAAGATCCAGTAAAATTACCGAGAAAGTTCAATAATTTTACCGAGATTTCTCGGTAAAATTACCACCTTTATAAATGGTAATTTTACCAAGAAAAAACTGGGATCAAATAGAACCCTGAATTCTTGGTAATTTTACCCTTTTCTTAGTAAATACACCGAGATTTTTTTTCAGTGGGAGCGCCAAATAGACTTCCGAGGGCAGGCTTTCCGGCCCCAAACTAGTTCCGCTCACGTTTGTTTTGGAAAATTTCATCACTGATACTTTCGCTCGACATTCGGAGGGTTTCTAATGCTTATCGACATTTTATAGTTGATCAACTATTCTGTTTTTTTCTTTTTAGTGATTGCAAGCCGAGGACACCCGCCAAGAGAGCCCGAAACGAAGCTAAGGCCCAGCAGCTTTGGGAGTACAGTTGGGGCGCAGTCGGATTACCGAAGGATTACGATCCATTCGTCAAAGGATAGGACCTCAATGCGTCAAGAGTCAGATGTCAGCTGAGAATCTACATTTAAACGAATAATTGAAAGAAAACACTGTTTTGCTCAGGGGGAATACGTAATTTAGACTATCCCTTCTCGAAGGTTGATGTAGGTCAGGGGTATTTTCAGCTACTTTATAAATACCAAATTCAATAAAATTTCTCACGACCTTATAAGATAATCGAATCTATATAATTTCTGAATTAACGAGGATCTAAGGTGATTTAATGTAATATCTTATGATGGTTTCAGTACTTGCAGTAAAGTTACCACCCTGATCAGTGGCGAAGTGTGAATGATCGATTAGGTATCAATATTTCCCCATTTGAAGCTATGGTAAAGGATCGATTATTAAGGTGTTATTTGAGAACACCCTGTAAATCGATCCTTTCCCATACGTTTAAATGCGACTCTTTACCTTTTCCATACGATCAATCGACAAATCGCAAAACTCGCCACGCCACTGATCCTGATAGAGCATTGCATAATTAATCCCAAATCATTACACCTTTTTCGTCAAACCACAAAGGTGTTACTTAAGGCGTATAGCATTAGCTCTATTTTGCATTGCGTATCTCTCTCTCTCTGATCACCGAATAATATTGTACCGCCATTAAGATTAAGTGTGTGAAGTTCCTCCATACCCACAAGAGTATTATCGAATTTAAACGCGTGAATCCAATTGCACGTTACATTCTTGTCTATTCTAAATGTGAATAAATATTTTCATGGATTTTTGTGATTTCTTTTTACGTAAAAATACATCTCATTTTTGAAGTATGCACTTTGTTTTTTTCCTTTCCTCACCAATCGAATCGCAACCACCAGCAGGATTGTTACTCAATCGCTCTGTTTGAAACAAACTTCGTCATATGTTGTTCTTCAAAAGTAAACCTTTCTTCCTATTAAGCTCTCATTAACTTATATGCAACGCTTTTTCTACGGGCCTGAAAATCCATTATCTCAATTTTGAAATCAATATGGCTTTCGCCGGAGACAAAATTTTTTCCTACTTTTTGTTTGCATTGCATGTTCCACGTCTATGTTATACATAGCTACTCATGTAATATCAACAGTACAGCTGACCAAGGCAATTTAACACACCGCAGTGTGCGAGATGCATACATCCGGCTGTAATTTTTAGTCAACATAAACATAAAAAGTACAAATTGCCGTTTCGATTTTTTTTTCTCGAAAATCAAGATTTCAATGTTGTCCTGATCTATACCAAGTAAATTCCAGTGCAATGAAAATTTTGCAATAAAATTGCGATTTAATGCAATGAAATCGCAATTTTTTGAACATGAAATTGTAATACTTTCACATTATTTATATTTTATAAATTCCGATATCGAACGATCAATAAGATGAGCTTTATCGTGTATCAGAGGGATAGGCAATTTGTAATGCAAAGAAAAATTCGATGGTGGAACTACTGGACCACGCACCTCGTTTAGGGTGCTTGAAAATCTCCGCTCCCATTTTATTTCTCGGAAGGTGAACAAATTATCACCATTCCTTGCAGTTTTCACTGTTTCCTCGCACAGAGAAAAAAAATCGCAAAGATTTTCAAGAATTGACGTTGAGCAGTTTTTCATATAAAAAGTAAAGTAAGAGAGGAAGTCTTCAACGTCGTAAACCGAGATACCTACGTGGTCTGGAAGTTTCACCGTCGAATTGTAACTGAATGCCATTGATATTAACAAGAAGTGCCCCTTTAATAAGTAGATAGGATACTTACACGACACTCTTATGCAGTAACGACAATTTGATTCAGAAAAAAATTACAAACGAGGAAAGGCTAAAAAATCTCTCATTTCCTGAGAGTTAAAGTATAGTAATTTCTAATTTGTTCGTCATTCGGTTATACAAGAGACAGAAGTTGAGAGAGAAACCAAACACGCAATTTGGCCCGGCGCGGCGCGGCGTAGAGAGCAAAAATGATGACGAGGACTTGAGATGGATGGAAAGGAGAAGCCCTCGGCGCGCCGGTCAGCATGGAACACATAATATATGTATTAGCGCCTACAAGACTCCACGAATACTTCATGCATTGCGTCAAACGTAGTGCGGTCAGCAGCGGTTGGCGTGAAACTCATAGTGCCTACGAGACTGCATGAATACTTCACGCATTGCGTCAAAAATAGTGTGGCCAGCAGCGGTCGGCGTGTGAAACGCAAAGCGTCTACAAGACTGTAGGGATACTTCACGCATTGCGCCAAACACAGCGCGGTTGTCGAGGTGGCGGAAATTAAAATCTTAAAACACATTCATGTTTATTCTTTCATAATTTTTTCGTTCTTTTCTCATAAATGAAAGACCTTGTCCACACAAGGATAGGTTTACGGAACTTAATTTTCGCGCAAAGTTCCGTGAACTTTTGCTAGTGATGACACAAAAACTGTGTCCAACGCGAGTAAACGCGTCTTACGCACCCCTCCTCCTCTGGCACGCTCACTTGATGGTTTGCATCGATGTTTCAAAACGAATTAGAAGGGGCGGCAAAATACAGGCGGCCCATGGGCGGCAAGTAGGTAAATCCGGCCCTGCGGGGCGATTATTGAAACTGATAGACAAATCGATAGACAAAGATGACATAGGGAGTATGGAGCGATCCTATTGGTTGACATAGTTGGTTCTCATAGACTAAGGGGGAAAATGATAGACTAACTGTCGGGTCTCCTGTGGATTGCCGTTAGTTAGTCTATTACCTACCACCTTTGTCCATTGCAACCACCCGTTTCCACCAATAGGATCCCTCCAAATCCCTTTTGTCGTTTTTGTCTATAGGTTTGTCTATCAGTTTCAATAATCGCCCCGCTGGTAGACATTATTTGACTTCCAAAAACAGTGCGCACACCCATCCGGCCATCCGTGGCTTTGACTTTTTCTCCCACGCAGTTACGTCACATCGATCCAAATCACTTTCTCCTCATTAACGTCGAATTTCGTCCGCACAAGAACGTCTCACGTCACGCCATTACGTCTGCACTAATTTTGTGGATGCGTGAGTGTAGTAGTGTACCCGCATGTGCACGTTGACAGGCTGTCCAAAAGGGTGAGAATAAGTGTGTCGGGCTGCTAACGTATGAAGGATACGATTATTTAGTGGCTACGTCATTCGCCGGTTCCAGTGCCCAAGTAGCAAACTGCAACAAAAATATTAAAATTAAATTGCAATTTGATTTTGGATTTTTTTTTTGAAATTGTAATTCTTTTGCCCCATAAATTGCAATATTTTCACACCATTTAGTTAATTTATGCCGATTCCCTTGTAGCAACGGATCGTGAAAAACTTGTAAAAAAAAATTGAAAACATTGTGAAATGAAGATGCGCAACATATACAGAACTCGTAAAGAACTCGTAAAAAAAAGTTCCCAGTTGACGAATTGGGAATCATTTCACGAGTTTTTTACGTAAAAAGCTTATGAAAAATAAGTGAGAAACTCATGTTAGATAATACCAAAAATTGATCAGGAGCGCACTCCTCTACTTGTGAAGAGTACAAGTTTTCTTTTCACACATCATCAACTATTTAGTGGTTTATTCAGTACATACAAGTATTACACAAGTTAATTAGAGAGACAAGAGACACACACTAAACACTTTGACTCACCAATCGAGAGATGATTCGGCGTAAAATCTCGAGCGGACCTGTGGAGATTCGAACCCACGGCGCGCGACGACTGGATTCACAGCCGAGCGCTCTACCAACTGAGCTATAGCTGCTGATGAAGAGCGAGGTCGAAATATCCCTACAAACCCTTCTAGGAGCGACTAGTAGTTATGCAGCTTGTTCTTCGTCCTTATTACTTCATTCAGAGCACTTAAACCTTTTCGAAACTAAAACTTTCTAAGTTTCATCCGTAAAGTTATTTTTCAGCCCTCGTATTTTGTCCTTTAAAATACCTAGAAAGTATGAATTATATAAAGCTACTGTACCGAGATTTCAACAGGTTCAATCCTGTCGCGTGACGTCACAGCATTATAGATGAAATTTCAGGTTTTAGGGGGTATTTATCGACGGATTTACTTGAAACTTTCTGACCGGGGGTACTTTTTGACGGAAAACTCGAATTTTTGGTCAGATTTTCAAAATTTCAAAATCCAAGATGGCGGCCGTGGCCTAAAATGCAAAGTCGGCTCCTGTTCGCTCGATTTTCGTGAAACTCAATTACCGGGGGTACTTTTCGACGGGAAACTCGAATTTTTGGTCAGATTTTCAAAATTTCAAAATCCAAGATGGCGGCCGTGGCCTAAAATGCTAAGTCAGCTCCTGTTCGCTCGATTTTCGTGAAACTCGGTTTCCGGGGGTTCTTTTCGACGGGAAACTCGAATTTTTGGTCAGATTTTCAAAATTTCAAAATCCAAGATGGCGGCCGTGGCCTAAAATGCTAAGTCAGCTCCTGTTCGTTCGATTTTCGTGAAACTCTATATCCGTGGGTACTTTTCGACGGGAAACTCGAATTTTTGGTCAGATTTTCAAAATTTCAAAATCCAAGATGGCGGCCGTGGCCTAAAATGCTAAGTCAGCTCCTGTTCGTTCGATTTTCGTGAAACTCTGTATCCGAGGGTACTTTTCGACGGGAAACTCGAATTTTTGGTCAGATTTTCAAAATTTTAAAATCCAAGATGGCGGCCGTGGCCGAAAATGCTAAGTCAGCTCCTGTTCGCTCGATTTTCGTGAAACTCGGTATCCGTGGGTACTTTACGACGGGAAACTCGTATTTTTGGTCAGATTTTCAGAAAAAGTAAATTTTATGAGTTATTCACAAGTATTTTACAAGTTTTTCACGAGTCAAAATTTTGAAAACTGACTTGTAAATAAAAAGTAAATTTTATGAGTTATTTACAGGTATTTTACGAGTTTTTTACGAGTCAAAATTTTGATAACTGACTTGTAAATAAAAATTAAATTTTATGAGTTATTTACGAGTCAAAATTTTGAAAGCTGACTTGTAAATAAAAAGTAAATTTTATGAGTTATTTACAAGTTTTTTACGAGTTTCTTACATAAAAACGAAAACTTGTAAAAAACTTCTTTCTTTTACAACTTTTTTACGAGTTTTTTATGTGTTAATGAAATTCACAAGTTCTTTACATTTTTTTTACGAGTTTTTCACGAACCGTTGCTACAAGGGTTGTAATCAACAAAATGAGTTTCATGACTTTCTTGTGTCAAAAAGATAGGCAATTTGCAAGGCAATGGAAAATTGCAACTTATTTCAATTTTACTGCAATAAGTTTCAATAAATGGGGCCCCTTCAAATAGGAGCTAGGCACCATACAAAACATTTTAACCTATGCAATCGTGGACACTAAATCAGTATGTTAAAGCTCCCGGTGCGAAATAAATCACGCCTTCCTTTAAGCCTGAAACTAGTTCCAAGTTCTCCACGGGGAAATTGTAACAGTGTAACACCTTAATTTAAATTTAATGAGAATACTCGAAAACAAATTTTGACGGAAACTTCCACAATAACATGCCGTCGCGTCGTCGATTGATTCCGGAGAAGATGTCGGGGGTTGGTTAGCCAAGGGAAATTTTTGACCATAAATCGAAAAAAAGATGTTTTCCCCTGGCTCAGAATATAATGTGAGCACAACGCCCAAAAGAACAAGAGTTTACCGTTTACGCTTTTAGCTGTCATTGAGCGTTAGTACCGCGGCCACGATAAATCCATGCGAGAATACAGAGAGAGGGAAAGTAACCACAAGTTTGTGTAAAAATAGCGGGTGAACACGAAATAACACAAACTTTTGGCGTTAATTCCTGTGGGGGCAGTTTTTCTTCCACTTTGATTGACTGGATCATGTTTGATAAAATCAGATTTTCGGGTTCAAAAGCCTTAAAGTCGTAAAATGATTATACTATACTATAATCTAGGCACTGACGGCTAGAATAGAACCTGACTCTCGTATAGACAATCCAATCAACTAGTCACTCGCCAATCGCAAGCCAAAAATTAGGTTGATTAACCAAATTGTCTCCATTGACCAAATCGAAAGAATTGAACCAAAAGTAACTGAAAACACGGAAATTGTTGACCGTTCATGGGAGGTATTGAGTTCAGCTTTTTCCAGGACAAAATGCGGACCCTCTAAAAATAAGATATGGTCTCAATCAGTACGTTTTCATTTTAATAATGTCGTTGGTTTTTTCCTCTTGAGCTTTGCGTGCGACCTCTGCATGGCACGATACTGATATGAAAGTCTCAAAAAAATGAAAAGCGTTCATACCTGAGGAAAACAAACGTCATTGGGCGGATCACGGGCGACGGCGAATGGCTGTCGTCGCATACGCCATATCACGTCAGATTTCACTGGCAGGAAATTCCGTCATTCTGCAGTATACTCTCGACGGCAATTTGAGCGATTTTTTCTACGATGGTATGACTAACGTGGGTAGGCAACTTTTCTAAAAAGAAAAACGGGATAAAGGGCAGGAGAGGAGCACAGCGAAGGCACAGTTTACTCACTTCCCGTGCTTAGTGGAGGTCGTCATGGATCTGAGATCTTCATTTTCGGTGATTTTAGTTTTTCTAGTGTTGTTAGGACTTCCAGGAGATTTGGAGTCCGGAAGTCCTAAATCCGGAAGTCGTAGTCCTAAATCTGGGGGTGGATTCCGAAATTTTTTTCGCAAACTCCATATTCCACGGGTAAGAATCTTTCCAAGACTGTTTTGATATTTGTGAAACGACTTAGCTATGTATGTATGAATTGACTTTTTGCCTCAGGAGAATAGATGGTAAAAAGTTCCGCGTATCAATTCCACCGCAATATAAGTAAACTTAATTTTACAGTATAAGTTTCACTGGGTTTGTTTAAAAAAAAAAAAAAAAAAAAAAAAAAAAATCGGATCGACAGGGGGTGGATTTACGCTCCAAGAGTACGCCTTGTAAATTTTTCTGTTGATTTTATATATATATATGAGTCGCTTTTATAGCGCTCTTTGGCGCTGTGCGACGCCTAATCGCCACAAAGCTCGGTCTTCCCACAGGTCATCAGGGAGTTGACAATCTCTTATCTCATTTAACACCCCCTGTCGCCAACCTCTCACTGGGCGTCCCCTACGTCTCCTCCCAGGAGGAACCCAATCAAGCATCTTTTTTGGCAGCCTCTCTTCCGTCATCCTATTGACATGACCATACCAAACAAGTTGTTTGGTCATGACGTCGAACACGATGTCATTTTCGACTTCCATTATCTGACGCACTCTATCATTACGGACCCGATCTCTCCTAGAAATTCCTGCTGACCTTCTCCAGAAATCCATCTCCGTTGCTCTTAGCATATCCTGTGTCCGTTTCTTCAGCTGCCAAACTTCACATCCGTATGTTAATATACTTTTGACTACAGCGTTGTATATCCTCCTCTTGTTATCTTTGGAAATCCGCTGATCCCAGAGGATTCCATTTAACATCGCTATAGCCTTCCTTGCTAAGGTGTTCCTTTCCCTGATAGCTTGATCCGTCCTTCCATCCTGGGTCAACCGCACTCCCAAGTACTTAAAGTGCTCGCAGCCTTTGATCTGCTGCCCATCCTCCAACTCAATGCTTTGCTGATCACCGCCAAAAGTCATCTTCTCAGATTTGGATATGCTGACTTCCAGACCCCACTTCCGATACTCTTCTACTAGCTTGCGCATCATGTATTCCGCGTCATCTTGATCTTGAGCAACCACCACCTGGTCATCAGCAAAGCACAGAGTAAACAGAGTTTCGAGATCACCCAAGGGGACACCCATACCAGAGCATTTCTTTTTCCATTCTTTTAGCACGCACTCGAGATAAATTTTAAATAATGTTGGCGACAAACAACATCCCTGTTTTAAACCCTTAGTCACATAAAATCCCGCTGACAACCCCCCATGGCACTTAACTTTGGTAGAACTCCCTTTATAAAATCGCTTAACAGCGTCAATCAACCCCCCGTTAAAATTCGATTTTTCCAAGGCCTCCCAAAGTTTCACCAACGGCACGCTGTCATACGCCTTCTGGAGATCCACAAAAATTAAATGCAGTTCCTGAGCTACGGCCATTTTCTTCTCAATGACCTGGACAGTAACAAAGAGGTGATCTATCGTAGACCTGCCAGCTCTAAAACCAGCCTGCTCCTCTGCTTCGTGATCCTGCCATTCGTCCTCGATCTTCGCTTTCAGTATCTTCCCGTACACTTTGCTTATTGTCCCGGTCACTGAGAGCCCCCGGTAGTTGTTACAGTCGTCCTTCCTTCCCTTCTTTTTGTAGATGGCCTTGATCCAAGACTCCTTCCACTCCCTTGGTACCTCGTCACCCCTGATGCATTGTTGCATCAGTTTTCTGAGGCACTCAAAGAGCTTGGCAGTCCCGTACTTGACCAACTCGACAGGAATCCCACCAGGACCCGGTGCTTTGTCATTAATTAGCTCTTTAACCGCTTTAATTATGTCACAAGTGTGGATCTCCAAGTTGTTCATTCTTCCGTTGTCCGTGCTGTTGTCTCGAAACTCTGGGCGCCTTTCCGTCAAAAGATCTTTAAAATGATTCTCCAGTTTTTTAAGTGATATCGGAGAAACGATGTCGCGCTTCATGTCTCTACGTAAACCTTTAATTAACTTCCAGCTCTCAGCACTTTTTCTCCCCCCTAGGTAGGTGTTAATTCTAGAACAGTTGCTTTCCCAAGCTTCATTCTTCTTCCGTGTTATGAGGCTCCTAACTTTAGACTGAGCTTTCCTGTAAGCAACTTTATCTTCAGTCTTTTTAGACGACAGAAATATAAGGTGTTTTTGCCTCTTAAGATTTATCTCGTCTTCAATTTCTTCATCCCACCAGTAAGGATGCTGGTATTTATAACTGGTTTTGTGAACACCTAGGGCTTCTTTCGCTGCAGAGTGGATACAATCTTTGATGAACTGATATTGCTCTTCCGTGGTACCCGAGAGTCCATCCCCCAGCTTCTCATCTAAGCGTTTCCGATACAGAGCCTTGACACTAGGGTGCTCCAAACTTTCGATGTTATACCATACTTCATGATTTTGCGTTCCCTGACTCTGCTGTTGCTCAGGCATTGGCTCTTTATCTTTAATCCCTTTAACGGGAAACGCTATATCTGCTCGGAGGAAATGATGATCACTGCCGCAAGAGAGTCCCCTGCACACTCTAACTTGCTGCAATTTCAACTTAGTAGTGTGCTTTACAATTACATAATCGATGATGGATTTCAATCCTCGCGTTGGCTGGACCCAGGTATACTTATGGATGTCTTTGTGTTGAAAAAAGCCATTCAAAATTTTCATCTCAGTTTGAGAACAAATTGAGATGAGCCGATCACCGTTATCATTAACAGCATCCTCCCCAAACGGTCCAACAACTTTACAGTTTACTCGTCGTCCCGTTCTGCTGTTCAAATCACCCATAAGAATGGCTTCCCTGCCAGCACCAACGTTCAGTATTTCATCATTCAGATCTTCGAAGAATTGGTCCTTACATGCGACAGTGGCATCATCATTTACACCGTATACTCCGAGCAGCGTGATCTTATGTCCGTACAGGTTAAGGTTCATTTTGATGATGCGCTGGTTGACGGCCTCCCAAGTGCCCACGAACTTACGTAGGCTTCTCCGCAAAAGTATTGCTACTCCTTGCTGAGCACGCTGATCTTTGGCTACGCCGCTGTAGAATAGATCATAGTCACCGTAATTCTCTGACCCGTGCCCTTTTTTCTTGGTCTCAGTAAGAACAGCGACATCCACTCCAAGTTTCTGAATCTCCGATATCACTTCCGGTAACTTATTTGAAATGCCTTGGACATTCCACGTCCCAAATACCATTGTCCGTTTTCTCAATTTTTGTCGACGTGTCCGTTTAGTTCTAGTGGTACCGAGGCTTGTATTGTTAGGTCGTTTAACAGTAAAACTTTTTACAAGTACCGGGGAGTTAGCCCGATGACTCAACCCCCAACCTGGAGGACCAGGGTTTGATTTCGGAGTTGCCTCTCCTAGACAGGTTGCTTTCACTTCAGCTCAGAGCCCTGTCTGCCCTTCTAGCAGGTGGTTCATACGCCCAGAGGCCGGTGACCATCTCCACTGCCCCCTTTGAGGCAGGGGCTACCAGCTGGGGTCCGCAGGATTGCTAAACCTGTGACAACAGTCCCCCATACGGCAAATCTGTTGATTTTATACTTTGATAAAATATAATAAGAGCAAATGATGATATCCCTAATCCCTCTCAACCCACAATTAACAAAATTATTCTTGGTCTTAAGATTAATACAATATTATGGAGATTACAAAAGGTATTAAATTTGTATTGAATTTTCAAGTTATCAAGTCAAAAAATGAAGATTAAAGCACGACCGGGAACATTCCATCAATTTATTTTCTTTACCAATCCATGACATTTTCCAGCCTCATATACTGCAGTTGAAAAATCATAGCAAAAATTGACTGCTTCCTGAGGTACTTCCTCGTACATCGTACATATATCTAGTGTGGATTTCGCACCTCAAATTTTGGCTATATTTTCTGCGATCCTAAAGGTGCCTTGTCGAACTTTATACCTAGGTTTAAATGAAAGCTGATAATGACCCAAAGCTCATAAAATTAATTTAAGATTAGTATAGGAACGATTTCCGGAGCACGAGGGGAGGGGGGGTAAAGGGGCTAAAATCCCTCCTACTTTTTGCAGTTTCCTTGTTGATTGATGTTGCCGCGGGCTTCTAATCGTTGTTCACACTTGTTATCAGTTCAACACATCGATACATGAGTATTTTTATACGAAGAATTGAATTTTCACGAAAAAATGACCAATTCATTTCATTTTCATGAAATGATTTTTTGGAGGAAAATGCTTAATGTCTTGGAAGAATGAGGGTTTGCTCGATTTTTGTTTTTTGTTCGGTCCTTCCGGCGAAAAGTATATAATTGAGATTTTTGATAAAAATGGAGGAGCGTCAATTCTATTTAAGGGAAGATTCACTAAAACTTTCTGCACCTCTATGGTACAATAGTGGTACAACTTAATTATCTTTCAAGAAAATCCCATCTTGTTCTATCTCAACCGAGTAAATCTCTTGATTTGCCTCAGCTGGAGGCTCCTGATTTTCCGATGAGCACGATAACTTCGCGACGGTGCGAGATATGTAACGTTTTAACTTTGTTTTTGCGTAACTTCCCGATTATTTTCGACGAAAATATTTTGATGGCAGATATCTCCTACAGCTCATTTGTGCAGCCAACTCAAAAGCGACAAAAATTAAGGTACGCGGTTTGGTAGGTAGTTTCACCATCGATGTGCTTTTCACCTTTGATCCCCTAAGTCTCTCACCTCCTCTGATGAGTCACTCTTGCACGCTGTATGTAATCTAAAATGTAAGCATTTATTTAAAAGGCTCCTGGAAAGTACGCAGTGCCTCTTTCCTGTGCCTCTTTTCCCTGTGCAGTTATTTTCTGATATCGAGCTCATTCTGTCGTGCCAGTAAAAAGTAGCTGCAATGATTCTCAAAGCTCCTAAGAGCACGTCGACGGTGTAATTCTGCAACCACGTGTGTATCTCGGTTTGCGACGTGGCAGACTTCCTGTCATACTTCATTTTTTTAATGGAAATAACTACTCAATGGCAGTGCCTAAAAACTGTTGTGATTTTTCTTTCCTGAACAAAGAAAATTGTGCGAGAACTTCAAGGAATGATGTCGTTATTTGTTCTCTTTAAAAAAAAATAAGAGCGGAGATTTTCAAACACCGCAAACGAGATAAGTGGTTGCAGACTTACATCGCAGCGTCAACGTGCTGCAAATTCCACCAAAATGCACCAAAAATGACGACAAATTGAAGACAATGTTTCAAATTCCTTAATTACTTTGAGTTTTTTTTTGAGAAAAAAACTAGGGGTGGTATTTGCATTTACTTATTCTGAAAAATTTATTGAAAAAATAATCATTTGTTTCAGATTATGCAACCATTTTACAAACGATTTAAGGGCACCGAGAGACTGGAAAATGGAGTGGTCGTGATAACAGGCGGGGCCTCTGGAATAGGGGAGGAAACTGCTGCCGAACTGTACAGAAGAGGTAAAAACAATTTTAAAAGTCGAGACATGACGGAAAATCTTATTTCGAGGCTAAACTGAAGAGTGTCTCGGATAAGTTAATGAGGTGACCCTTTTGAGATAAAAAAGACTTTTTAAGATTTCCGCACTCTTTGAGTTGCTATCCACGTTGAATAAGGAATCTATTCCTCACTGTTGGCACGCACACATTCACTTGGAGTAAAAAAAGTTTCGTATTTTCCAAAAGAATTGAAAAGAATATTATCTAACATAGTTTGATGTACAAATACGTTTAGAAAAGCTTCTCAAATTCTACGTCAAAATTCAAATAATGATGACGATTATTTTTGTGTAACTGAATCACAAAAATTTTCTCAATAACAATCCGAAAATGAGGGATTCTTTTGTTTGACAGGGGGACAACTTCTTGCTTCTTTGTTAAAGGATTCGGCCCTTTTGGATTGGTTATTACAGAAAATTCTCAAAATTTAACGAAATTCGGACGTCCAATATAGTTCCCACATTCAATGGTTTTGACCTCAAATCAAAAGCGAGGATTCCGTTAAGTATCTTCGCCAGTGATGTCATATTTTCATAATTTTCCCAATAATTTTATGCAACTAGGGGGATATACCCCTTGGCCGCTACTCGACCCAAACCCCAGAGGGCGCTTCGCGTTCTCTTAGGCCCGCTTCGACAAAAGAACGACCAAAAAAAAATAAAAAATTTTCATACTCGAATCTCATTTACCCAATCTCCCTCTAGCCGGAAGCGATTGGACTAATAAGTATCGAATAAAGAAATCGGTATTTATATCTAACTTCACGCCAAGACTGAAACGAAACGGAACGAACCGAACGGAGCGTTTCGTCACTTTCGGATAGTCTGTAGCAATGGAGCATACCTTCGATTCACTTACCTTGCCTTTCTAACAGACCTAGATTCAACATTTCCCGCTGATCTCAATTTTCCGCTAAATTTGAAATTCCCGCCATATTTCACTGACGGGAACTTCAAATGTTGGCCCCCTACCTAAGCTTTTTGGTCTGCTCTTATATATAAAAACTTGGGTCCTATTTTCGAATTCTAATTAGAGCAGGCTCCACTAGGGATCATCACTTGTCGATAACCGCAGAAATCATGGAAATCGGCCCGGTAGAACGCTCAAACGAACAAAAAATAAAAATTTACTTTGTTTACATACATACATACATTAAGCCGCTTTTATAGCGCAGCCTCGCGCTCTGCGACGCCCAATCGCCATTGCCAATTTATTGTTTTTTTTTCCTTTTCTTTTTATTACTTATATGTTTACATAATTTGATTGAGTGTAGGGGCTCATGTGATAATTGGAAATCGCAACAGTGACACTTGCGATGCGGTGGCTAAAAAAATTAAAGAACAACCAAGAGAGATTGTAATCAAAGACGGACATGAGGAGGAAATTAAGCATGGGCATATTGAGTGCTATTATCTGGATCTGAACCAGCTTGATTCAGTCAAACGGTTTGCCGAATGGCTCTTAGCCAACAAGAAATATAATATCAATGTGCTGATAAACAATGCAGGTAACTATTCTCCGTAGTACATTAGCAATCGTATAATACCTACCAAACATTCAATAATATACTTAAAAATTGTATCTATCAAAACATTTTCACCGATAATAATATCGACCATAGCAGATTGACTCATCCTCAATAGCCAGAGCATTAATTTAAATTGACAGTTTAAATGAAAACTATATAATTCAATGAAACTTTATTGGTTTGAGGCTTTTTAAAGCCTCGAAACCTCATCTCGCGTCTGTTATCATCTGTTGTATGGGTCTACTTGCATGAATAAAGAAAGAGAGAGAGAAAAAAACACCGAGAAACTTAGCCCATATGTATATAACAAGGTGATAAAAGTCCCTCAGTCTTGTCCTGGTGCTCATTAGGGTTCAAAATGTTTGACTCTAATGGACCTGTTGCAAACTTTTGCTAGAGCAAAAGTAAGAAATGTTCCCTATAGGGTATGTCTCAAAAATCACGATGAGTGACTCATCGGCAAACTCTGAAATACACTCCCAACTTTACAAGTTGAGGAGAGCACGAGGTCAATCAAGGCGGCTATCTATCAACGCGAGAAAAATATAAATGTAAACATGCCGATTTTTTATAAGGTGGTTAGAATCAGAGTCCCGTCACGTGTTTCGGCGGATTGGCGTCGGCTATGTTGATCGAATATTGCGTGGTAGGTATCCTTGTGAGCAGGGGTTGGATGAAATGACTCCCTGACGAAATGTTCACCTGTGCCGTGATATCGTTTTTGAGGCGGGAAGCTCGAAAAGACGCAAATTTCTTATGCAAATCGTGAAGTAAGGAGTGCATTGCAGACTTTGCCAATGCGTTTATCGTGATTTTTGAGACATTTTCTATGAGTAACAAATCTTAATTTTTCTCTAGCAAAAGTTTGCAAGAGGCCCATTGAATTTTTTGAACTATTTGGCCTTTTCCCTGCCAAATAGTGCGGACCCAGCACCATTTTACCACCAGGGTACCTACTTATTTAATTCCTTCATTTTCCTGATTTCATTTCTACTCGCCGTGAGAAACTCCGCGCATGGTGACGCCACTTCACTGTCATGATTTTTTTTTATAACATTGATAGAGCCCGAACCTGATGAATGTTCTTTATTCAGAAAGAGAGGATAACAAAAGTCAGCTCACAAGGATTTTTAAACTTGCGGCACAATTTAACATTCAAATATTAAGCGCTCAGCCGATAGGCAGCGCTTTTTGATTTCGACTTGCCTCTGAGTACTAGTATACTAGTGCTAATGCGTTTAAATGGCGCACCAGCTCATCGATGTGTAGGCTTTTTTTTTTTGGGGGGGGGGGGTCCATTTTTAAAATAAATAAAGCTGCGAAAACTGTATTTTATGCTTTTAACGTAATGCGCAGGTATTTTCGATCGTTTGTCTATAAGAAAATTCCTCAGCGGTAGAGTAATTCTTATCGAAATTGATCGTTGAACTCAAATGAAGCCTAAAAAAACGCGCCTGATGAGCTCAACGGTGAGCTCATTTTCGGGAAACAAAAATACGCGTTTACGGTTTCCTTGGTAACCTTTGTTTGCTATCAGCTGATGTTTTATTTCCATTACCCAGCCAAGTCGACGGAGTTTATACGCCCTTTCTTCACTGAATACATTTAGCGACCTGAGCGCTTTTCTAATACGACAGTATTAGAACTTTCCCGCTTGTTTTTTATGAGATTTACTTTTCAAGAGAGTTCGTTGTGTGTTTTTCAGGGGTTATGTTGGCTGACCATCAAGTGATAGAAGACACCAAGACGGAATTACATATCCAGAGCAACCACCTGGGTCACTTTTTTCTCACCATACTTCTTTTGCCGAGACTTATCCGAAGTGGTCCCTCCAGAATCGTGAACGTGTCATCTAAGGCTCACGAGTATTGGAGTGCGTATTCAACAGTGACGTGGCGTGAATTGCGATATATCGATTGTTATGCCATTTAAACCTATGAAAAACGATTGATTATCAGAGTGTTCGCAGCGAACACCTTAGTAATCGATTCTTTACCGTAGCTTCAAATGGCGAGATATCGATAATCGATTATTCACGCCACGCCACTGGTATTCAAATTCGATGATATTTTTTAGTCAAATCAGTATTTTGCTGCACTAAATCCTATTAAAGCAGGCGACTTATAGTCAGATTGGACGTATTTCTGCCAAACGGAACTATGTGCATTAAGGCATGAGCCTTGAGACCCATAAGAATGTATGCATAACAGGGCTCACGTCATAATGCACATTGCACATAGTTCGGTTTGGGAGAAATACGTCCGATTAACAATAAATTCAAGGTAGTTTTCGGTGGTTTATACAATATCAAATCATTGAGCATATCGATGTGTTAATTGCATTTCTGTATTACTCATGAGCAAGAGGCTATTCGGAGGAAAAAGGTAACGATTGCCCTCCTTCATTTGGAAAGTGTCAATTTGGTAATTTTGGCTTGTTCCAGTCTAGGACATTTTTCAGATGATTTGGACGTATTTATGCTAAAAAGAACCATGCCGAACGTAATCCTTATACATATAGTTCCTTTTAGCATAAATACGTCCATTTGGAAATATCATGGGGTACTTTCTAGGGACGACTCGTAAGTCAATACTTTCGGGACTTCCAACTGGACGCCGCACAGTGGATCGAGTCGATAGGAGAAGTCGGACAAAATTTGGAAATTTTAAAAGCTTATAACCCCTTTTATACACCATTTTGAGGTTCTACAAGTGGTTGGTCTCAAGGTACAACATAATTTACCACAGTATATTTTATGTTTCCTTTTTTAGTAGTTTACAGAGGAAGATAAAATGTGATGCAAACATACGCTTTTTCCCCATGTTCAGAGGAATACCTTCAGACATCAGGGAAGCGCACAGATTTGCAGGGTTTCTAGAGATATGAACACGGAGAAAAAAACCTCGTGCGTGGGACCCGAAGTTTATAGGTCATATGGATCTCTGAAGTTTTCAGATTGATCATCTGAACACTTTAGGTCTAGCTGTCGAGGTTCGGATCACACATCTGAAACTTCAGTTCTTACATCTGAAGTACTTCGGTTTTCACATCCGAAAAACTTCGGTTCTCACATCTGAAGTACTTCAGATGTAAGAACTGAAGTTTCAGATGTGTGATCCGAACCTCGACAGCTAGACCAGAAGTGTTCAGATGCTCAATCTGAAAACTTCAGAGATCCATGCGACCTAAACTTCGGGTCCCACGCACGAGGATTTCTTCTCCGTGAAGCACAAGCATGGTGATACCAACTCGAGTGACCCTTTTTGGTCCCCCTCATTGTAATTTTACTCCATTCGCTTCTTTAAGTTTGTAAAATCAAACAGTTTGAAGACATCTAAAGCTGTACTTTTGCGTTGATAGATACACTTCAGCTCATGTGGCCGCTGAGTGGGGCTCGAAAGTGGCTCCTGAGCGCCATAATCACCGTGAGAGGTTCCAGCGCACAGTGGATCGAGTCAATAGGAGAGGTCGGACATGAAATTTTTAACTAAAACTGCACATTTTAATGTTTAAATCGTCATATTTTATACAACAAGGGGTGGTTCTGAAAGAAAATTTCACGAGAAAACCAATGAAACCACTTTTAAAACCTCAAAGTTTTGTAAAAATGGAGTTATAAGCGTTTAAAGTTTCCACATTTTTTCCGACCTATTCTATTGACTCGATCCATTGTGCGGCGGAGCCCCGAAAAAGTACTTTCATGACCGATCAACTAGTACTGTTCATACAAATACATACGTATGGACCGAGAGTTGCAAGAGATGCAGATCGAAGTAAAGACTCTGGCTTTACAATGAGAGATCACGTTCCTCCTCTAAATTCAGTGCAAAATCTCGACATTGAGTTTTTACACAGAATTCATATTTGTCCTTCTTTGGTATTCTAGGAGGCGGGGTAATAGATTTCGAGAATGAGAAGGCTCTCCAAATGGATCCAGAAAAGTACTCACGCTGGCAAGCCTACGCAAGGAGCAAGCTATTTAACATTTGGTTCTCAGCAGAACTCTCCCGTAGACTCAGAAGTAAATGAAATCTGCAAAATACTATCACCTATCTACACTGAAAAAAAAGATCGGTGTATTTACTAAGAAAAGGGTAAAATTACCAAGAATTCAGGGTTCTATTTGATCCCAGTTTTTTCTTGGTAAAATTACCATTTGTGGAATTGGTAGTTTTACCGAGAAATCTCGATAAAATTATTGAACTTTCTCGGTAATTTTACTGGACCTTGGTAAAAACGCCAATATTTTGTATCGACTGTGGTAGAATTACCGAGATAAAATGGCAAAGTTACCGGGAATTGATTACCAATAAAAGTGGTATTCTTACCTGAAAAAAGACAGTAAAAATACCGGTTTTTAGGTAAGCTTACCAGTCTGTCTTGGTAAAATTACCAATAATTGGTAAAAAAAGTGAGATGGTAAAGGTACCAACGGACCTTGGTAAAAACGCCGAGAATTTTTTTTTCAGTGTATCACCTATCTATCGGTAGAAAACGTAGCGAGAGAGCACTTATGCGGTTGTTTAAAAAGATTTGTCCCTGAATCCGGTTTGGTTCAAACTGACGTTTGGCATATCGTAAAGAGTACGTCAAGTATTTGGACAAACCGTGAGTTTTAACCCCCCCCCCCCCCAAAAAAAAAAAAAAAACCTTGTATAAAGAGTTATCTGAGAGTAGAAGAAGAAAAGACGGCTTTTTCGAAGAAATAAAACTAGATTTTGCCCTGAGGAAAAAATTTGCATCCGCTACGAAATTTAATTGCTGTATCGAGTTCAATACTATTTTCGTAGATGAACCCTCTTTCAATGATTTTTCGAAAGAAATGAACTATTGCGTTTATACATGTTCAAATTATATTAATGCGTGCTGCATAACAACACGGAAAAAACGAGTTTAGGGTTGGGACCTACACGTTATAGTGCTGGACACTAACGAGGGTTAGGTCAAATGGAGCCACATAGTCAAAGTAGTGCTGGACACTAAACAGTTCGAGGCTGGGTCACTAAGGAAATAGTAGTGTCCAACCCTACAGTAACTCTGGCGAGCGTAAAATATGTATCGCCTCCGTCTGGGATTGGACCCGGGTTGCACTGATGGTAGACCAGCGCGTTACCACCAGGCTATAGCGGATTGTAGATCGGATGAGCGAATTTACACCTGTTAAGCGCAACTGCGTCTCGAGGCATCTGATTGGCACTACTGGTGATCAGTGCCAACCTCTACTGCCTTCCTGTGTTGAGCTGTACAGCGCTTTGACGCCAGCCCTCAACTGCTCACCACTAAACGGCCAGTAGTGCTCAACACTAATCTTGTTTTTTCCGTGAATACACGCACTATTCTGCTCGTTGTGCTTGCTGATTGTTGATTTGATGAGCGCAGTGGCGAGGCGTGAATGATCGATTTATCGATGTTTCCCCATTTGAAGCCATGGTAAAGAATCGATTTTATTATTGCAGAATGAAAAACAACTTAATCAGCCAAAATACACATGATAAAAGAACAACTTAATTTGGGGAAAAGGCTGCAGAAAAGCTTGAGTCTCGGTCTCGCAATAACAGCGTAACGACGGCTCGTTTTTATTTTTAATTTATTTTCCGGTTGAAGATGAAATTGTAACTATTTTGAAACGTTCCGGGTTAGGTTTATCCTATGTTCTTTTTTTGCAGCCTTTTCCCCAAAGTAAGTTGTTCTTTTATAATTGCAGGCCATGGCGTTACAACAGTGAACACTTACTCTTTACATCCTGGAATCGTCCATACACCCTTATACCGTCACGTGAAGAAGTGGAAGTGGGTTGGTGAATCGTTACACAAATTCTTTGAAACAGGATTCATGAAATACTTCCTCCGGACACCTAAAGAGGGGGCTCAAACCACTTTGTATTGCACTCTCTCCACGGATGTCAAAGATGAATCTGGCCTCTACTACAGGTAAGTTTCTTCACTTGGAAGCGATGTATGATACACAAAGGGTGTCCCATGGTTCAATAGCCAGGGTGTACAGGTTTGTGTTCATGCAGGGTTATCCAGAAGCAAATGTTATTTTTTCCGTGTTCGCTATTGCGTTCGCCGTGGTCTTTCTGCCACTGATAATTTCAATGAGATGTTTACCTATGGACTAAATCGACTTAGCAAAAGTATCATTATTCGCCGGTATAAATGCTTTTCCGGGCGTCGAGAGTCGGCAGCTTTGGTTCCCCATGATGGCCGCCGCCGCACAGTGGATCGAGTCAATTAGAGGGGTCGGACATGGAATTTCTGTACTAAAACCGCAAATTTTGGCGTCTATTTCGTCACATTTTACATTTCAAGGGGTGCTTAAAGAAGACAACTTCACGAGGAAACCAATGGAACCACTTTTAGAAGCTTAAAGTTTTGTATGAACGGAGTTATTTGCATTTAATGTTTCCAAATTTTGTCCAACCTTTCCAATTGACTCAATCCACTGTGCGCCGCCCAGGTAGCAAGGTCTGCTATAAAATAATTTTTATTATATCTTCGAAATAACAGTTTTATTGCTATTAAATGAGAGTTTTAATTCCTATTAATATATTATAAAAAAAACAATTTATATCGGTTGAAAAGATCGATTAAAGTACTCCCCAGTTACAACAGTTTCAGGCGCTATATTCCTATTTTATGAAGTTAAAAATAACAGTTTAAAATAATTTAATGACATAAATCAACAATGATTAAAGTAGTGAAAAACAAATTTCATTTGGAAAATTTACTGGTGTAAAGCGACACTTGTCTTAAAATAAAAATAAAAAATTTAAATGTTGAATACGAGTTTTGAATTATTCTTGTAAAGTATTAAAAAAAAACTTAAAATATCCATAGAAAAACTAATTTCTAATAATAGAACGACTCGTAAAATTGTAGTTTTATTGAAAATTAACAGTGCCAATATATGAAATTTTATTCGTTTTTAATATTTTGTTACACTGTTATTTTTTGGTTTTAAAAGATCAATTATAGAACTCCCCAGTTTCAGGCCTCATATTTCTATTTTGAACACCGATGACGGTGAGCACCGATACTTCCTCTAAGGAGGAGCAACAAAGACTATGCAGCAGGGATGTGACTACACTCGACACACCACACTACAATCAACGCTATAGATAGGCCCATGCCCTGTCTAGGCACAGTTAACCACAGGGGGGTCATCAAAAATGTGAGAAGAAAATCCACTCATATGCACCGAACAAAGCAAACATAGAAGCCGTCGATAAAAAAACGTATGTCGTAGAATATAAATAATATATTTTATGTTTTCACTACACACAAAGGTTAGACAGGCACCATAAACGACCCATCCAAAAACAAAATAAATCGGAGCTCTCTATCGGAAATAAAAGGAAACACCCCGATTACAATAAAACAATCGGAAATTAAAATCGGTATTAAAAAAAATAATGTAATACTAATTTATATTTCACAACTGTTTAAAATAAAATGTTTTGCAGAAAAACTGCAATAAATCAGATATTTAAACTGTCATTTTATCACTATCACTTGTATCTTTTTATCGATTTAAATTATATTTTCCTTGTTAGTGATAAATAGTTATCAAAGTTTTTTATAAGGATTCTTTTTCGACAAAAATTAAAGCTACACCGGTTTTCAGGAAACAATGATTTAAAAATAGTTTCTCACCAATATTGTTTAATAAATAATGTAATAATAATAATTAATATTTCATGGTTATTTATAAGAATGTGTTTTGCAAAAATATGGCAACAAATGAGATATTTAAATTTGTTTTTTATTGTCTTTTTTTTATCTTTTTATTGATTTAGATTAAATTTTTCTCATTAGTACAGTATAATACTTTATGTTTTGTAAAATAGCTTTTTTAAAACAAAATGGTCTACTTCTGTGTTTTATGAAATCAACTTTAAAAAAAATAAATTAGAATAAATTTTTTAACTTTTTTTAGTTATAAAAATGTTAATCTACTTTCCTTTCTTTAAAAAAGTTTTGTTAAGTAAGTGATTTTGATTGAGAATTTTAAACCGTCGTTTTATTTCAAATCTAAGTATGTTTTTATTGCAATAATAGTTTCCTTTTCGATCGGTGTATAACACTAGTTAAATTTGTGTTATATTTTCAGAAAACATGACTAAATTATAAATTTTCCACTGGTTTTTTTTAAGTATGTAAGAAAAATTTTTCAGTGATTATAGTCGCAAAGGACTTCTCTTTTCCGTTGGTTTTTCAACTGTTGTACTAGAGCAAATTTTTCGATGAAAAAGTGCACAAAAGTAACAGTGTAAAAACTGTTGTGAAATTGCAATTTTGAACTGTTACTATTGCTACCTGGGCGCCCGTCAATTTCGGCGACAGAGGCCAACGTCGCGTCGACACCGCTGTCGTGGAAGAAGTTTCTCGATTGTGATGAAAACACATATTAACAGGTCCGTCATCCAGAATAGTGCCCACATGATCCCTTCACAATAATCCACAGCGTCGCGATCTGCAGCGCGGCTCAGGAACAGCTCGCGAAACAAAAAAATACTTGAAAGTCCTGTGGGGTCATTTTCAACTCGTCCCCGAAAAATTGCTATAATTCAGTGAGTTTTCAACCGAATAAGCTCAAATTCTGAGGTTTGATAGCTAATAGTAGAGTCCCTTTATACTAAGAGTCAAGACAATGTGAATCCATATCTGATTGGTTCCCGTATTTTAGGCCTTCACAGTGTCACAAACGGGAATAAAGATTACATTTTCACCGATTGCAAAGATTACAATCTGGAATGGACCAGGGAATCGTGGGTTCGGCAAGGAACAAACGGAATGAGAGGAGGAACGGAGAAAGGAATTTGAGAATGGGCCGCCGATCAAAGATTACGAAAAACGTTCAATTTCTGTAATCTTTATTCCCGTTTGTGACTCCATGAGGGGGTGTTGTCTTGACTCTCAGTATAAAGGGACTCTAGCTAATAGTATGGACTACAACTTCCCACGGCACAAACCGTAATTCGATATCTATCATATAGTTCGGGAACTACAGACTTGGTCTCAGTTGTTTTGGGACACCCTATGTATATATTAGGACATGTTTGATATGCTCGCCGTGCCCTACTGGAAATTACGAGGGGAAAATAGTGTGGTTTTAACATGCTTGATTTCTCGCCACGCACATATATCCCAATCAATGGCATGACCCCGTGTGCCATTGGGCACGAAATGCTAGTTGTTATATAACTTTAATTTGGTTTTCAAATCTTGTTAAGTAATTTGTATATTGCATCTGAATAATTTTATCGCGGTCCTGTTAACAGTAACTGCCATAAGAAAACTCCTACTAAACGTGCGCAAGACACGGCACAACCCAAACAACTCTGGGAATTTAGTATGAGGAAGCTGGCAATAGCTGGGGTGCTGGAGCCTGGCTATGATGAGGAGAGCATGTATGTGAGCGGTTAGCCGTCATTGGAATAAGGAACCCATGATTGATAATGAAATAGTAAACATAGTGAACAAATTGATTGCCCATGTATGAATGAAAACTTCTGTAACCCTCATTTCTTCACTTCGGAAATAAATGCACATTTTTGTTTCATCTCTCCGCATTTTCTGTTTCGCAGTTAAGAGTAATGTTTCTCCTGCGGGGCGATTATTGAAACTGATAGACAAAGCGATAGACAAAGATGACATAGGAGGTATAAAGCAATTCTATTGGTTGAAATGGGTGGTTCTCATCGACTAAGGGGGAAAATGATAGACTAACTGTCGGGTTTCTCGTGGGTTGCCGTTACTTAGTCGATTACCTACCTCCTTTGTCCATTGCAACAACCCGTTTCCACCAATAGGATCCCTCCAAATCCCTTTTTCTTGGCTTGTCTATCGCTTTATCTATCAGTTTCAATAATCGGTCCGCAGGAGAATGAGTGCCATGCTGCCGTGCTAAGGAAGAACCGCGTATTCGAGAGTTGCCAAATTTCCTTCGATAAAATGTTTATTTTAGTGGAAAGCCATGAATATTTTTCCTTGAAACTTTCAGGAACTTTAGGTGAAATTGCGAACAATAGTATCTGAAAAACTAGAAAATACATTGGACTCTCGATAATTCGGACCTCGATAATTCGAAAACCTCGTTAATTCAAAGGAAAGTCCGTTTCCCTAGGAAATCTCTCGATAATTCGAAGAAAATCAATGTATTTTTCTCCCCTTGTTATTTCGAAATTTTTAAGCTGGCTCGACCCTCTATAATTCGAAATTGCGACGAAAATTCTCTCTGTAATTCGAAGTGTGGGAAGTAAATATGGTCCTCCCTCTATAATTCGAAATTAGGCGGTTCATTCCCTCTACAATTCGAAGTCAACTGTTTATGTACCTGGGTGTCTGAAAGAGCTGATAGGATTGTCAAAATGTAAACATGTAATTAATAATAATCAGGGAACCAAGAGGCATCCGGAACACCGAATTTTCAAGATGACGCATAAGGATTCTGGACAAGAAAAGGTCGCCTATTTTTATATACATGGTATAACTGTCAACAGACATATCTGCTCCTAAATCTTGCTGCAAAATTTTACCTTACACCCATTCCTTTTTTCTAAACCATACGTTTTGAGAGATATTTGCAAGCATGGGCGGAACTAAGAACTTTTCGTGGGGGAAGGGGATCTAGGGGGCACAAAAAAAAACAGTCCATTAAGAGGAATCTGCCATCGTCCGTGGGACTCCCCTAGCCCCAGAGGAGATTTCGGGGAACATCCCTAGCTTCAAAGGGGGCGTCCGAAGGACCTCTCCCGGAAAAATTTGGAAGATTGAATTGTCTTGGGAGAAATTTTGATCTGTTCCACCGAAAAATTGATCAAATCACAATATCCACAAACAAAAATATGACTCGGACTCGGACTTGTTTAGCCAAATTCCTTACTTACATTTAATGGAAGGGGCCGAGTAGATTTCTGGGGGGGGGGGGGGGAGAAGGCCCCTAATTTTGCCCATGTTTGTGGGTAATTCTTCATGAATGACCTGGTGAAGGCAGAGTTGAATTACAAACCACTCCATGCTTGTCATCCATAACTGTGAGATGTGCCGCGGAATTCTCAATGTTAAAAACAAAGCGATTCTCTAGTTTCACCATCGATGTGCTGATCACGCATAAAGTGGCTAAAGTTGAAAATTGCATATCTCCATTGCAATGTTCAAAAATCTCCGAGTATGTTTGATTACTGTGTAGGGAAACCAACGATACATTTTCTTTGAAATTTCCGTGAATATTCTTGAAAGAGTGGCGAGGATCCGCGGGTCTTAAGAAATACTGTCGGTTAGTTTCCTTTATAATGAAAAAAAAAAAAAAAAAAAGCAGGCGTACGTTGCAATCGGATATGAGCGTACTCCGATTTCGGGCAACTAATTACTAGGGGGCCTTGCCCCCTGACCGCTACGCGGCCCAGCCCCCGGGAGGGCGCCTCGCGCCCTCAGGCCCGCTTCGCGGACCCTATACGCATATGTATAGGGAAAACTGTTCTTCCATTTTAATACACCATTTTGTGTTCGAGCTGCATCGATTTCAAGATTTTTGACGTAACACTCAGATTTGTAAATGATGAGGAATAGCTAAATGTACATAATTTCACAGTCCCTTTACTGGAGAAATTTTCATTTATTATATTACTTTTAAATGCTTAATTTAGAAAAAAAAAAAAAACGGATTTCGACCGTTAAGAGTTAATAATATTTGGTCCGTCCCGGCGCGACGCAGCGCAAGCCTTCTTACTTTGTACCTGCTGTTTATCTGTTGTAAATATTAATAGAAATTCAGCAATCAAGTAAATTGACCAATGCCACAAATCGAAGCCGGAAGAATGCAGGAAAAATTGAGTTTAACCGTATACCTTGGACCTTGGACCTTGGACCTTGAACCTTGAACCTTGAACCCTGAGCGATGCACCGTTCCTCAACTCTTCGAATGAGGAGCCCTTCACGAGCTTTTCCATTGTTTTATTGTTTATTTGAGTCACTCAGGTAGAATCCCACACCTTGACATTTCTAGCGGAAACGACATATCTCTCACGCTATTAACATTGGACTTAAGTGATATGAGCTTTAAAAGCTCTACAACATTAAAAGTTCAGGGTTTCATAATTTTTTGCACATCTACATCTACTACAGATGACATACATGTAAAGATCATCCTTATCGGTCCGGTAGTTCGTCAGAAATAGTGCTTCCAAGATTTTGCTTGTAGCTGTATAATACAGATATTCCGAATAATCACCTAATATGAAAATTCAGATTTTTAGGGACCAATTTTTAAGGGGCCACGTTGGCGCAGAGCCTTCATTTTTTAGGCGCCATGGCCGATTTTTCAGGCGCATTTGGCGCGTTGGCGCCTGTGAGTTTCGAGCACTGTCCGAGGCTCTCCTAAGTCCACCCTTTGTGCGTACGCATCTATCGGCAAGCCATGCGCGTGTGTTACGTATCTACCTCGAAAAGAGGAGTAGGTTGAGGTTAAGTTTGAGGACACTTGATAGTCTTCCTCGCGCATCGGTCTCCAGTTTCAATCCAGTTGGTTTTCTGTTCAGTTTCATCTTTTCTTCTAATGTTTACACCACCACTCATAAAAGCCACCTCCTTAGTGCCCTCGTGGATGCGGTCCCAGAGCCTGCTTTTAAGTGCTGAAAAGATCCTTCGAGATGGAAGGGAAAACTCAAGTTGCAGTAGTTGGCGGTGGACTAGTAAGTTACCATTCTAATCGTTCTTGTTTAAACGAGTCAGATTTTCAAGATGATATATCGACGGTGTAAGTCGGCAATCACATAACACGGTTTGCGACGTCGCAGACTTCCTGTCATACGTTATTTTTTAAATGGAAAACTACTGTGCGAAGAAAATTCTGCATAAACTTCAAGGAATGATGTCAATTTGTTCTCTTTTAAAAAAATAACATAGAGGCGGAGATTTTCAGACACCGCAAACGAGTTATGTGATTGCCGACATACACCGTCGATATGTATTTATAGTCACATTCTGTCATGCTAAGCAAGAACGCCGTAAACCTATCAAGATTTTTCCTCGTCTTTTGAAACACAACACTTTATAAAATAAAAACCGTTTTACCCATGCACCTCAAATTTTCAGGTTAAGTTCATGATAGTTTTTGTGAGAGAATTCTGAAAAAAAAATATTTGCCCAAGGTACAAAAGTTTTTCTCCTATGATACATTGCTTTCAAAAAATTTGAAATGGCGTTTACGGCGTTTTCGCGTTGCACGCCAGCATTACGCGTAGCTCTGGTGCATCATACTGACGTGCTGACGAAAACCGTCGTATGTGGCTTTAGGTGTTGCCGAAGCTTGTTCGATACAACACGATTCTAGGAAACTGGAGGATATTTTCTCCTATGTTTCACAGATTTTTATTCGCAATTCGATCTGAAGTATCTGACAATTTAGAGGAAAAATATTCATAAAACTCCTAAAGGCTAAATATTTTACTGGGGATATTTGGGAGCATTCAAATGTTCATTCGGTAATTTCTTTTATAGCGCAACGGTAAAGCCGTGCAATTGTACTTAGAGGCTTTTCTAGAAGTCCTTCATTGAGTGAGAGAGAAGGAGCAATTTGACCGAATATATTTTCAATACTAGGAAACTCGAATGGTGAAGAATTCTTTGAAAATTGCGCAAAAGATAACTTTCCGATGGGAAAATTTCTGTAAAATGCTATATGGGTGTTTTAAAAAGACTTCTTTGCTCATATTTCTAAAAATGCATCATTTTGGAGGTCATTCAAATACTGATGGCACCATTCGAATGAGAACAGATTTTTTTGAAATATTCCACAGAATGTTCAATGAGTTACTCGTTCAGCTTCTCCATCAAACGACGGTATTCTATAATATTCCTTTAAAACTGAGGCTTAAATCAAAATATATGCACTTATTTGCGGTGTCTTCATTAGAGCATATAGCGCTTTAGAGTGTGTACAACAGATCGGACGTTATTAACATCATAATCCAAAGATTCTTTAGATTTCAGTGGTAGAAATATAAATAGTGAAGAGCAAAATCAATAATCGGTAATTACATAATGTAGATTGATATATTGGAGTTTCGACACTAATACTGTTAAGAGGGTCGTCCAGAAAGTTAGTTTACCTATTCAATTATATCTCCTAAAATAAGGTAGATGAAGAAAATCTGTAAAAAGTGTTGACAAGCTCCTACTTTCAGCTTTTTAACGCGCTATGGATTTTTACATGTGGTTTAATAAAACTCCAGAAAAGTGGATTGTTTTGAACCCACCTCCTCTCCCCGTAGGTCCAAAATTTCACGGAGCGCCATCAGCAAATGAATTGTTGTGTCCATCGCTTATCGCAAGTAAGTGGCTTCAAGGTGGTTGAATTTGATGTAAAACATGAGGAAGCACATTTCTTCATCAGAAAATTGCAGGATTATTCGATACTTAAAAAGTTGCAAAATTATGGAGGTCTTAAAGAATCAACGATGGGTAGTTTTCCAATTATGAAACAAGGTATGGCAGGAGGTCTGCAACGTCGCAAACAGAGATAGGTGGTTCAGGAGCTTCACCGTCAGTATATTCATCCCTAAAAATTTGCGGCATCCTGCATACACTGCCACAAATCGGATTTTTCTGCACGATTCGGCAGCTCTAAGGAAAGCTTTCAAGACTTCAAACTTAAATTCAGCGTCGCATGAAAAACTCTCTTCCACGAGGGTTCTGTTTAAGTATGCACTGCAGCACTAATTAGACCACATTTTGCAGTAAGAAACCACTGTGTCTGGCTCATTTTAGAAACAACACATGTGCCATTGGTTTCCCTATGCAGGAAGGTGCTTTTAGGGAGGAGTCAGAGATGTGGTTCCTCATGTGATCCAATTTTTCTTCGTCTAGATTGGATGCTGCCAGTGGCGTGGCGTGCTTTGCGATATATCGAGTGTTCTGCCTTTTAAACCTATGGTAAAGAATCGATTACTAAGGTGTTCGCTGCAAACACCCTGATTATCGATCCTTTTACATAGGTTTGAATGGCATAACAATCAATATATCGCAAAGCACGCCACGCCACAGGATGCTGCCGACCGGTCGCACGCACAAAATTCGCTTATATATTTATATCCTCCATACCGTTGTTCTAGGTTGGTTCCCTGTTTGCTAGTTACCTCGCCCACCATGACGTGAATGTTGATTTGTTTGATTTGCGGCCAGGTAAGCATACTTATTCAGATCTATCGCGCTTACAACGTAACTATATGTTGGCGCCGCTAGCGTCACCAATATTTAGCCTTCATTCCGTCAGCTAGGCAAGCCGCCCGCATCTCATGTCGCGCCGCGCGCCTAGTTCCGCCGCGGCCCGCCCGATCGCGCTGCGGGCTCTTTATTCGCCCCTCCGGCTTTTCATAGGATCTTTAAATTCTTTTCTTTATTACTTTGTCTGTTTCAATATGTAAAATTTATCTTTGATTACTTTTCTCCATAAATCCTCAATTATAGTACTCACCGGTGCCTTCCGTCACAACCTTTCTCAACTTAAACTACGCGTCCGCGCAATTCCTTTTCAAATCCAGTTTGACCGGTTGGCCCGTGTGCCGTACTTAAAATATGCTTCACCTACCATTCCATGGTAGCGTCCTTGGACATGTTCATTCCACCAGCATATGCACTTTCGTGCACTGTATCCTTTCTTCCAAATAAATTTGGTCTATTCATTCGACCAAGTGAGGATATATGCTAAATTCTCTTACATTACTCTATCTTTTCCATGAGTAATAAATCAACGTCAAATTTCGGCCTTCTGCCAATTGGTGGTTCTCTTTCTCTATCGGTCTAAAAAATCATTCGCGTTACTCGTGTCCGGATACGATTGCCTGCGGTCCGAGTGCCGCGGATGAATTCTTCCAAATTTCAATAAAGAAAATGTTCGTCTCTCTCTTTAATTAGCTTCCATCGCGCTACTCGTGACCGGTCACGATTGCCTACGGTCCGGGTGCCGTGGACGACCTTTTCGGCTAATCTTTTTAGAAGACTTTCATTAAACTTTCACTATATTCTTAATTAATCTTCCATGCAATACGTAGTTGTAGCTGAAGCTTTGATAACGTACAAAACACCGAGTCATGAGTTCATGACAGTGACATTCAATTGTCGCTGTGTGCATTTCCACTCTTTTTCTTCTTTTCTGACGTACCTATCTGCAATTTTTTTTGTTGAATTTGAAAAATGAAATACAAAAAAAGATGATAGTGAAAAGATGATGATGATGTGTGTGTGCGGTGTGGTTCTAAGCGGCTCCTAGCCAGAATCTAAAACTTTGCCTTAAAACTTCGCTTTGGTATTCTACATACTTAACACCCCCTTCCAATCGACAAAAAATACTGTGAAAAATTAGGGACTTATTTTAATGTTACACTCCCTTTCTTCAATGAAAATGGCGTTGAACTATGTATGCATAGTTATGTATACCATATTATTTTCTAATATACGTTTTCAGCATAAATGGACCAAAAGGTATCATTGCGTAAGAAAAAGAAAAGAAATAAAGTCGCCCAAGTTAAAAACTGCAGTACGAATGCAATGAAATGTACAAGAAGATCCGACTTTCAATACCTGCTAAATTGCATTGCTTTGTTTTTCTAGATTCGAGGCTTCAAGAGCATGTGAAAGGAAGATCCATCAATTTGGCTTTATCTTTCAGAGGCTTGAAGGCTCTTAAGATCACTGGGTCAGAAAATATTCTCGAAGAAATCAAAGGGATTCCGATGAGAGGCAGAATGATTCACAACAACGATGGATCAAAAAATATTATATTGTATGATCCAGTGCATGGTCAGGTCAGAATCATTTTCATCCTATAAGTATTGTCCAGAATTTACACAGCAAACAGTATAGCTGATTTTCTTTTCTAGTAATACAAGTAGAATAATTGAGTAACTTTGTGAGTTTTGCGCATCCAATGTATATTTTACTTTTAACACTTAGATGCCCAAACTCAGTCAAATTGACCCAAGGCTTGCTAGAAACACTGAAAACACATGGGTTGTATGAAACCGGCACGTGCGAGATTTAGATGTAGATTTACTCTACAAGTAAATCCTAAAAAATTAATTACACATACATCAAATTGAAAAAAGGGGGAAAAAGCTATTGCAAATGGCGGGAAATTATTTTTTGGCAAACACTCCTAGAAATTCAGAGCCGGGTCAAATTGACTTGATCATCTCTTCTGAAGGAGTTATGGGCCGGCTCCAAGTATAGATTAAATACATCCTAAAAAAAGAGTCAGTCATCAAATTGGAAAAAAAATAGAGTGTCAACGTAGTCGAATGATTGGAGAAACGCATTCGGGCATCGTTTTTCAATTTTTCTCCCGGATCTCGGCGGCATCTAATCGGAACGGCAGGACACAGCAGAGTATTACGAGTGCACGCCTCGTGCCACCGCGCCTTCAATTTTGCAGATACAACACGGACATTCATCAAGCACGAATAGTTGCATCTCTGCGCCGTCATCATCGCGCGTTATTTTCCTTGCTCTAAATCAATGTTGCGTTGGTTCCGTTTGTCTTATTTTTAGTGGTGCTCTAAGGGCTACTTGAGCAACACAGCCGAGAATGTAGGAGAGACGTGATCAGGCCTCGTTTTTTTACCTTTTCTCCCAAATTTGAGCGACACCTCATTGACAGCGTAGAGCAAAGCATTGCGGGTTCACGCTTCGCGCCATCTCGCCTTCAATTCTGCAGACGCAACACGGACATCCATCAAGCTCGAATAGTTGTATCCCAGCGCCGTCATCAACTCTTAGTCTTTCCCTTGCATCTATTTCATCGGGTGTTGGTGCCGTTCGTTTTATTTTTACAGCGCTATGCGCTTTATATCTGCGCTGTCATTGACGCGCGTGGAGGTTTCTCTTAGTTTTGAAATGTGAGACGAGATATATGCTTTAAAAATATGCTATTACATGTTCAAATCAGTAATCATTTTGGAGGGAAAAAATGTTTAGATGTCACTAGGAGGGACACCCTAGAGAAGGGGCCCCGAAAAAAGTCTCAGCACTCCAAGAGTTTTCGAACCAGACCGACACTATGCCTTTATGTATTGTGCTTTTTGATGAAATGTCTTCCCACATGTCAAGCAAAATACGTTGAACTCATTTCTCTGGAGATTGATATCAACATACGTATGGGTATTTTTGAGCCAACTGAACTTGAGAAAAAATTTAGTACATTATTTTATAGATGCGCCATTGGCTTTTAAGGTATCATAGTAATTAGATTATTTATTAACTTTTGAGATACGCCTAATTTCTCTCAATATTATCTCATTCCAGTGTATTTACTCAGTTGGAAGAAAAAGACTCAACGACTTTCTTTTGACCGGTAAGATCTATTTACATTACTTTTTTTGTTTCTCTTTATTTCGTTTTAACCGTGCCGTACCATGATTCAACAGTAAAATACTTGAGAAAGAATAACCATTCTCGTGAGCTTGAATTGAAATTTGAATAAAAGATGCATCATATTGTTTGATTTTACATCATCTCTCTAAATTTCTGACATACGTTTATTGTAGCGATGTAATACATAGTGACTTACAAAGATAATTTATCGGTAATTTTCAGCTGCTGAAAAGCATGACAAAGTGAACCTGCATTTCAATCATAAGCTGCGCTCTATCAATATTCATTCTGGAGAGTTAGAATTTTCAAGGTAAGGTTTGTGGTATTTTGTTGTGAAAAAAATAGTGTAGTTTCTTTGAAAAATACATCAAAAGGAGGGAAAAAGATGAGGAGGTTTGTGAGGATTTTTTTTTTTTTTTTAATTTTGACTTCTGAGGCAGCGCATTTTACCTTTTATTTGGCAAAATTCTATTCCAAATTTTGCGATACGCGATTTAATATAAAAGAACCGGGATTAATATTTTATTATAATAGCCTAGATGCTGATCGTCGTTAAATAAAATTAACTAACTAACTATTTATTTGTTTGTATGATTTGTTTGTAAAGATGAGCAAAGTTAACCACGTGACATACCATCTGACTCGGTTGTAATTATTCTCTCACACATCTAAGTGGCAACCGCCTTGGCAAGCAATGTTACCAAACCCTCCCTTTATGTTACTAACTTTATCTCGAAGTTTATTTCGTAAAAGATCAAACTTAATGTTGACTTTTTAAGACTTTTCGTTTCGCAGCGTGCTGCGAAAAGTATCCCTAAAATCCTGGAGGCGATCTCTCCACATGCCGCAGAGACGTCATATCTCGGTCAATTTTTGACCAAAACAGCTCAAAAACGCCGAGAATTTTTTTTCAGTGCATGTCAAGCATTTTGACGTATCAGAGAGCGTTCAGCTAGAAACGCCCTCGGAAAGGCGTATGCGACGCGGCGCGACGCCCCTAACCCCCCTCTCCCTAATGCATGCCACCATTTTGCAAACACTGACAGGTTGCGGCATGCTATAATCAAGAGAATATTAAACTGCAAAAAAATGTTAAAACCGTTAAAAATGTAAATCAAAATTATAATTACACGTAGTGTGACAAAAAATTCGACGGCGTAAGTCTGCAATCACATATTTTGTTTGCGGTGTCTGAAAATCTCCGCCTCTGTGTTATTTGTTTAGGGGAGAAGAAATTGACATCATTCCTTAAGGTTTTTGCAGAATTATCTTCGCACAAAGAAGAAAAATCACGGCAGTTTTAAAGAAAAACCTAAATCAGTTGTTTGGAAAAAAATCAATAAATCTATGGTTGATTTCTTCCTTACCGATTGTATGTAAGTCGGCCAGACTCATCTCGGTGAGTCAACCCTTGGTTCAATCACATCGCGGACAATAGAAGCTGAAATTATAGCTCCTGGCCTTCCTAGTAGCTAGACGCCCAGTCACGAAAGGTGCGAGAAGGGGGGGGGGCATCCCGGCTCTAGGATGAAACTGGTTGAGTCTTCCTCTCAGCAGATAGCGCTAGTCTATGAAGCCAAATGATTTTTCTCCTCTCCCTCTCTCTTCCTCCCTCTCTCTCCCTCCCTAAAAAACGCAAGATATCAAAAATCTAAGTTCAGATTTGAATTCCTCGTGAAAAATCGATGCGATTTCATATATCATACTTTATCATAACGTATCATACGCATGAGGTTTTAAAGAATTCTAACATATCAGTCCAATCCAATATGGATTAGTAGGTCAGCTGAGGAAGAAGAAGAATTTATCATGAAGGAATTCGCCCCTTTTATCCACGCCGCCGCTAGTTTCCTGGAATCTGCCCAGACGCCGGCGCTACGCAATCGGTTTCGTCCCGCAGAATTTCCGAGAAGATAAATCTTCTTCTTACTCATCAGCTGATCGACTCGCTCGGTAACACCCATGTTGCCAAGTTGCATTCATATGTTAGAATCTATATGCTTACATTACACATCACTCTATCATGCTAGCGTATAATACATGTATATATACTGATTTTTAACGAGGAATCCGAAACTGAGCATAGATTTTGGATATAACTGAGTTAAATTTTTAAAAATCCAAAATCCAAGATGCAGGACGTGACCTGAAATCAGAGACAAGAGACCCTCCACTGGTCTCCTAGCGACAGGTGGAAGCTTTTACTTTCGGGGTTTCAACAATTCCTTATGGACAATTATTAGGGAGCAACAGTCATCACCCTATTTTCGGCTGTTGACTTACCTACATGGTCGATGATGAGCTTCGGGTGACGTCATGAGCCAAACAAGTTTCCTAAACTTCGGCCATTTTTGGCTTGTTTGCGAAACGAAACTGCCAACACGTTGTTAAACATCAACCATGTAGGTAAGTCAACAGTAGAATGCTGAAATCCCGAAAGTAAAAGCTTCCACCATGACCAAGATACTAGTGGAGGGTCTCTTGTCTCTGCCTGAAATGCTGCCGAGCCACGTGTTTATTCGATTTGTATGTGACTCAGTATCAGGCGGTATTTTTAATTGTGAAACTGGAATTTTATGTCAAATTCTGAAAACTCATAAATCCAAGATGGTGGACGTGGCCTAAATAGCTATCGCGGCTCCAGTTCATTCATGAAACTCGAGATCAGACGGTATTTTTCAACGGGGGACTGGAATTTTTAGTCCAAGTTTCATAATTCAAACTTTCAAATTTCAAATTTAATCATTTTAGCTTGCCGAAACTGCGCAACACCCACTTACCCACCCGGCGCGTCGTACACGCCTCTCCTAGGACATTTCTGACTAAACGCTTGAAGACACGTCAAAATGCTTGAATTGTTTGGCTCTGAGAGGCCGTACCTTGTCAACCTCACATTACAGTGATAGGTGCCATTGCCGAAAAGTCGAAATTGTTACTTGCTCTTATTTTGACGTTGCGCATCGGGTAATTTGTCAATTTGTCTTTCCTTCGGAGATAATATTTTCTTAACCCCATAGCACAAAAGCTTCCGGTTGACTCGAAAAAGTCATTTTTAAAAATTAAGCTACACCATACCCAAAGGTGATTTCTTTCAGGCGCCGCATCTCGATGCCTTTTCATCTTCGTTTCCATTTTTACTTGCCAATTTTCGCCTCTTTTTTCTCTTTTCTCCTTTTTTTCATTCTTTCCCCCTCCTCTCCTTTTTCATTTCTCTCGTATTTTCTGTTTTTCTTCCTCCCTTTTTCCTTTTTCTTTCATTTTAGCGCTTTCGGCAGTACGGTGCCTGGTTTCGTCGGTCCTATCGCTCCACCCTCGCGATAGTACAAATCTCTTGATCTTGAAAACTTCTGTAATTTTTCTCATCTGTGTGAGGTATGTAGTGTACTATCTACATATGTTCCGAAGAATGATTTTTATACGCTCTCTACCGATCCCAGTTTGATCGATTCGAGTATTTTAAACCTGAGACTTTCTGTAATTGGATGGAATTAGGTACTGAAAGTCACACCGACAGCCATAAAGAGTTTTCAATAATCACTTATTTACGGTAAAACTCATAAACTACGTATTTCAGTTGGCAACCTTATAGACGTCCTATTATATTTTATTTTTTAAATGGAAAATTATTCAACGTCAATGCTTTGAAACTTTCGTAATTTTTCTTCTTTGTGCGAAAAATATGTCATGGAAACTTCAAGGAATAATATTGACTAGCGTTCCTTCAATAAAATTAAATGGGAGTGGAGATTTTAAAGCACCGTAAACGAGATACATGGATTTGCAAAAGCTGAGGACCTTCTAGCATATGTCAGATGGGAACGCTTTAGAAATCAAAATGCGAATAGGAAAGGAAGAGGAAAAAGACAAGAAAGAAGAAAAGGAAAGTAAAGGAGTAGAGGTAGATGAGCGAGATAGAAGAAAAAGAGAAGGAAGAAAAATATACAGGAGGAAAATTCTTCTCGCGCCTCTTTTTTAGTTTTCCTCAATCACACTTTTCCTTCTCAGCCTCTTCTTCACCCTTATTCTTTTTCACCTTCCTTTTTCTCCTCTCTATATTTCTTTTATTCTCTTTCTCTCATATTCATCTTTAATATGCCCTCATCTACCTATGTTACGAATATTACGATCTATGAATCTTCCAGACTTTATAATTTTAAAGAAAAATCCGCGAAAGGAGATTTTGAAACTCCTTAATCAAAATTTTGGTTCGGAAAATGTATGTGATAAAAGAGAAGGTCGTTCCGATAGGCAGCGGCAGTATTTCGCACTAAAATCAATTTATTCTCAAATCCACGATGCAAGCAAGAGTCATTTTAGTCCATAAATAAACACATTATCCTCCTAGGTATCCCACGAGCTAGGTCATACATTTAAATAACGCAGTGTATGCTCCTAACCTAGAACCCAGCACCCAGCGTTCAAGTGCACCTAGAAAGTGCATGCAAGGCAAGACCTCATGAGTGTCCTATTACGTCTCGGGTACAAACGCGGAGGTATAATCTGTGGTATTCACACAAATTGAAGGCATTTTTTTACTTTACGGCTGCAAGTGGGAAAAGATGAAGAGGTTAATACCGTGTCGCATAATGTGATGCGAATTTTTATATACAAATTGTTTTCTGTTCAAAGAACCGCAGATGGAGATATCTTAAAAACAAAAGCTGATGTCATCATTGGGGCGGATGGGGCTTTCTCAACGGTGCGAAAAGAGTTTCTAAAACAGCCAATGTTTAATTACAGTCAACATTACATAGAACACGCCTATATTGAGCTGCACATTTCATCTGGATCTAATGGACAGGTTAGCGTTTCTTTATTTTATGCTTGCGGCTGATTTCATGATAACAAGAATTGTTGAAATATGCAAACCTCAAAAATTAAAGTTTACCGATTTTAACAAAATTTCATTATTTTATTCTAAAAAAGTTAAAGTTACTTTTTCCCCGCTTTGATAAATACAATAAACTTGATTTAGAACCAAGTCAAAATGCTTAACAAACAAACCATTAAATTAGATCTCAGCTCCTTCCGCTGCCGATCCGCCGGAAATTTTACGTCTTTCATGTGGTAAATTTAGTTGTTTTTGGTGGAAATCACGCCGATCTAACATTTTTCACATATTCTTGGGAGAGTTAACTAAAACTGTTTTATTCAGAGTTATCATTAAAATAAGAAAAAAAATTACATATTGGATGTTCCTCAGCTCCAAAATAATTGTTTCTCAAACTTGAAACACTAACCAAAGATAAAATAAAATCCAAACTCGTTAAGACATTGGCAGTAGCCTGTATTTGTATGCTGATAGAGGGTGTAAAGAGATAAGTATTTTCTTCCTACAATGGTAAGCCTCTACGACGACATGACGTTACGTCTCTCTTTTGACTTTCGAACTTGCAGCTTTTTTAACTTTTTTGTACTGCAAATTTCAAAGCGTCTTGGTTTCAGTTTGCTTTATTGTGGTGAGGGCGGTTGATGGTTGTGCTAAAATCCACGAGAATACTCCTACGCAGTGGTATTGATGCCTTGATTCTGAGTTTTCGGCTTTAAGGCCCATTCACCATTGGATGAGGGCGACATTTCAAAATCGACTTTTCCAATTAATTTTCTTGTTTATTTTTCCAGTTTCTAATGGATCCTAACTACTTGCATATTTGGCCTCGCCGGACGTTTATGATGATCGCGTTGCCAAACTGCGATGCTTCTTGGACTGTAACGCTGTTCATGCCCGTGAACGAGTTCGCAAAACTCGAAAGTCCAGATAAATTAATAAAATTTTTTGAAACATATTTCTTCGATGCAATTGACCTAATAGGCAAGGAGAAACTAATCATGGACTTCTTTGCGAGCAAACCCTCTCCTTTAATTTCAGTTAAGGTAAGTCGGACAGGAAATTATCCTATTAATGTTATGTTGAACCTTTTGATTTGGGAAGAAGGAGACTCAGAACAAGTTATGACCCTCAAAAGCTTGATAAAAGGCATATCAATGGTTGAACTCAGATCTACTAAGTAAAACGGACTTAGACGTTGGAGTATTTTTATCACACTTCAACTGTATCGTTAGAAAACTGCCCGACTCAATTTCCAAAGAATCTCAAGAAACCCTCCTCTCTGTTTGAAGAATATCCTACGAACTTTTCATGTGAAAAGGGTGGTTTTCCTTCCCCTCACGTTGCCTTTTAAATATCATATTCGAGGCTTAAGATTTGTTATGTTAATTTCACTATGGCGGAATCGTCTGAAAACTCTCAACGTATACTCAGTATCTATTCCAATATCAGTACCACTATCTCATCCTACAGCCTATGTTTTAAGAAGGCTCAAAAAGCATAAGTCTTTAACGCCTTTCAGCGTTTTTTGTACTTCCTGAATAACTGTCAGCGACCGATTTTGGTTGGGACTCACGCGGGAGTCAAAGTAATAAGGGGATCCTTAAATTCAACACCAATTAATGACATGTGACAATATCTTCTCGCATTGTTGCAGTGCAATCCCTATCACTCTGGAGGTAAGGTCGTCATGATTGGAGATGCCGCCCACGCAATAGTTCCTTTTTATGGTCAGGGAATGAACGCGGTGAGTCTTTGAAAGCTTTAAGTAGTCGTCTCCCCGGCGAAACAACGTAGCTCCATTCTAAGGTTGCCAAATTGACTCAAACAATTTACTTATTTTATAAAAATGTAACTGCACAATTTTTAGTCAAAATATGTCTGCTCTTTGCATGAAATCCAAGGATTAAGCAGTGAAATTTTCAGTTAGGAATGGCCAAAATTCTCCTTGTTATTCTCCGCAATTTGCGAGGGACAATTTGACAACATCAATATTATGTTACGTTCTCTCCAGAGGGAAACGATGAAGTGAATGAAAGAAAACGAAAGCAAAAGAAATACACTTATATTTAAAGATAATTTTAAAAACTCTCTATCTAGCCCTTTAACATTAAGCAAGCGCAAAATATACAGCAGACCGATTATTGAAACTTAAAGACAAAGGGAGTATGGAGCGATCCTACTGGTTGAAGTAGGTTGTTCCTATAGACTAAGGGAGAAAGTGATCGACTAATTGGACTGCATTTTGCAATTTGGAACTATAAATTCTGGCTCTTCTGGAAAAACACTAATGTGCATAGGGAAACTAATGGCACATACGTTGTTTTTAAACCGGGCTAGAATTTATAGTTCCAAATTGCAAAATGTAGTCCAATTCTAGGGTACCTCGTGGATTTGCCGTTAGTTGGTCTAATACCTACATCCTTTGTTCATTGCAACCACCTGCCTCCACCAATAGAATGCCTCTATGCCCCTTTTGTCTTCTTTGTCGATATCTTTGTCTATCAATTTCAATAATCGGCCCGCTGAACTGCGTTATTGATTCGTCACGAGGTGAGGGAAGAAATTGAAAATCCGATTTTTTGAGCTACATATTTTGTGGACGACAACTAACTGTTAGCTGCCTTTTTAATGTAGCAGGTATATCTATCAAAAACTTGATGCAAGTACGGTTTGTCACCGTTTTGACCATAACAGTTGCAATGCTCTTCATAAGTGATGGCTAACTATAATATATTTTGTTAACCTTCTCAGGGTTTGGAGGATTGCTTCATTTTAGATGAACTTTTGCGTATCACGGATTTCAATACGGAACAAGCATTCCTTCAATTTTCCAAATTACGATGCCTTGATGGTGAAGCAGTTTGTGATTTAGCCATGTACAACTACGTAGAAGTAAGTACTGAGTTAGTTTAAATATATATATTTTACAGCCACTATCTCAGAGGTTATTGTGTGCATGAAGAATTTTTCATCTTACCCATTACAGCAATTAAGACTAATTTTCGCTTCTTGAGAAGAAAAATTGTGAAATGCACAAATTGAATTTATAGAAAAAAAATCCAGAATTTAGAGCAAAAATTTTTGAAAGTAAATAATGTCCGTGAAAAGAGCAAGTATAATGGAAAAGGTCGTTAGGTCCTGAATGTGAGTATTTCCTCAATGAGAAAATTTATAGCGATTAACCATGGAGGGTAGACCTTTCCATAAGTTGCCGCGCAAATTACGAATACGCAATAAATCTGATTTTTATCACCTCTTTTATCGTATACGGAAATAGTTGTGGTGACTATGCAATTCAGTTATTTTCACATGTATAGGTAACTTTTTGACGCGTGGCATCATATCAAACATTAGCGTCCAGTTGTTCTTCCCCCAAAACTCCAAAAAATAAAATGGAATATGCGAATACAACTTCAACAGTTTTAATCAAAATTTGGGATGTTTTTCTTGATTTCCGTAGATGAGAGACCTTGTTTCTAGACGCTCATTCATTTGGCGGAAGCACATGGACGATTTACTCCACAGACTGTTCCCCAGTTTTTGGATTCCGCTGTACAGCTCTGTCACGTTTTCGGACATGAGGTACAGCAAGTGCATCGCTAATAAACAAGAACAGGATAGGGTGAGTATACTGCAAAACGGCGTGGTTCAAGTTATTTAGAACCCCCCCCCCCCCAAAAAAAAAAATTACCTATACGGACCTGCCGCCTCCGATAGGCCCGATTTTTAGATTTGTTTATTCACGTTGTTTCTCATTCAGGAAAACGGAAATAATTGGGTTGATGAATTGGTTCAAAAAGTCTGTTAAAAGAAAATCAACCCAATCGGAGGTGGCAAGTTCGTACATTCCCCTTGTAAGAGGATAAACATTTGTTTGAGCACCTGTGTCAACTGTTAACTAATAAGTATTTATTGTGAAGAATATTTTACACTGCTGCCAGTTCACTGATCCTAAAAAAAGGCATGCGCCAAGAATAAACAATAAGCAGTACCACGTATCTCGGTTTGAGATGTCGCATCAGACCATCCGTCATACTTCATTTTTTTAATGGAAACTACTCCACGTCAATTTTTTCAAACTTTTGTGATTTCTCCTCTCTATGTGAGAAAAGTTCTGTAAAAACTTCTGAAAATTATGTTGGTTTTTTCTCCTTTAAAAAATAAGATGAAAGAAGAGATTTTAAAACACCACAAAAAGATACGTACTTTTGGAGTTTCGTCGTTGATATATCGGTGTCCAGTAGGTATCACGTATCCACGAAACCACATACCTCCGTTTAGGACGCTGCAGACTTTCTGTCTTACTGTATTTTATTTTATTATTTTTTTTTTTTTGCAAAACTGTAGTCAACGGAATTTCTTTGAAACTTCTTTGATTTTTCTTCTCTGTCAGCATAATATTCTGTTTAAAGTTCAAGCTTTAAAGGTGGCTTATATCTCTTCGAAAAAATAAAATAGGTGCGGAAATTTTGAAATACTGTAGTGAAGATGCATGGTTTTGAAGTTTGGCCATAGATATACCTAACAGTGCATAATGAATGTACTTGCAAAATGATTCAAAACAAAACCCCCTGCCCTAGAAATTATTCTTGATTTAGATTATCATACGAAAAAGGCAGCGGTGCATAACGTTTGCGCACAATTCACTATTTGGTAACGCTGTAAAAATGCACGGACAATGTATAGGTCCCCATGACTGATGGAATGGGACACCGAGTGAGAAAAAAATTCAACTACAACAAAACTAAAACATGTGTCAAAAGAATAGCAGAACTGGACTGCATTTTGCAATTAGAAACTATAATTTTTGGCTCAGCTTAGCAAAACGACGTATGGGCCATTAGTTTTCCTAAGAACATAAGTATTTCTACGGATGAACCAGAAATTATAGTTCCGAATCGCGAAGTGCCTTTCAACTTGCGTACCCTCAGAAAAACCCTCCGCTGAAAATAATAAACCTCAAGAGATGCAACCTGAAAGTAAGTCAACTTTTTTAGTTGCCCTTAGTACTTCCCTTCTCTCGCACAAACATGGGGATGCAGAAATGAGTTGGGTCGACCTACACTTAATAAAATTATCTACGATGCAACTGAAACAGTAACAATTGCAACAGCTCCTAATACGGATTTTTTTTTCCAGATGCTGAACGTCGGTCTCTTGGTCGTGTTGGTTCTCGCAGTTTCAATCTTGGCTGCTTATTTCTTCACATGAGCTTGCAAACTTATGAAAAATTGATTATGAAATGAACACAACGAATGTAATACTGTGCAGAAGTATAAAATAAAACTCAAAGCAGCAAATTATTTTGGAAGATTTTTATAATAAATTATCGATTCAAAATTTTCATGTGCACTTCTTGTGATAAACTCGCCTCTGTGTATAGCTCAAACGATACGATTTGATCGCATTTCAGAAGATCTTTTAGTTTGGAGTCGGAATGATCATAGGTACGCGACCACCCTTAATTTCTGAAATCGAAAATACAAGTATAATTCAAAATCTTGCTCTAATCGTAAGCGCAAATACAATGAGACCTGATTATATTAATCTTGCTACACGTACACATGTCCCATTATGTCAGAAGAGGAAGCATGGGACAGCAGTCGCTGGTAGCAAATCAAAGTGTGTTCATCCCTTCAACATATGAAAAACCTACATAGTAAACCGCCGCCAAGGTTCAACCGCTAAAGTGGCGTTGCTTAAAATTGGTTCAGCCTCACAAAGATTTAAAAAAAAAAAGTTGCTCCTACAATGCTCATAATGTATTTTAGATACTGCCTACTTTTCTAGTTGTAGTTACAGTATTTCGCTCATGTTCACAATGACTTCGTTCCCCTTTAAAATGCAACATTTTCACCGGGATAGAAACATTGTTGCAGCGAAGGATTTTTCAAAAGAAAAAGCTGCTGGGATCAAACAACTGAAGGAGCAGAGGTCCATTTAAAAAAATAAATAAACAACGATATTTTCCATGAGAAATGTCAGGCGAAGTGTCCACTTGACTATATGTTTATGCTTGAGTCAGAACCAAAATCATAACGAACCCGTCCATCAAGACAATCATCGAAACGCTTCTTAACTGGATCGGTTACGTCATGGGACTTTTCATCGGACTTCATCGGTTTCATCACTCGAAAGCGGCCGCCTCACGCATAAACTGGCACTAATTCCTCAATTTTTCAGCCATTTCTGCACAAAATTCCTTTAAAATCTCAAAATCTGATCAGTGATTTGTCCCAATCATATCGGGTACCTCCAAAGATCGTCGGGCTGACGATCGCAACAGTCAACAGTTATCCATCGATGATAGCCTCTATATGCTGCCGTACTGAGGAAGAACGCCGTATGAGCCTTTAGGCGTTGCCAAATTTCCTTTGATAAAACACGAATTTCTTGGTGAATTTATGAATATTTCCCTTCCAATTTTTCAGTTGATTTGGTTCGCAATTTCACCTGAAGTCTCTGAAAATCTCATGGAAAAATATTCATATTTTTCTTCAAAAACAAAGATTTTATTCAAGGAAATTTCGAATGTTCATAAGGCGTTTTTCCTTAGCACGTTAGTATGGAGCCCCTAGTCTGTGCGCGGGTGGACGTTTTATGCTATGCTCCAAAAGAGATTAACGATGCATCGAAAAGCCGAAATCCATGATAACGCAGTCCTCCTCTGAAGCGCCGCGCCGCACAGTGGATCGAGTCCATAGGAGAGGTCGGACAAAATTCGGAAACTTTAACCGCGTATAACTCCGTTTATACAAAACTTTCAGGTCTTAAAAGTGGCTCCATCGGTTCCCTCGTGAAATTCGCTTCTGAAAGTGCCCCTTGAAATGTATAATGTGTCGAAATTAACACCAAAAATTGCAGTTTTGGTCAAAAATTTCATGTCCGACCTCTCTAATTGACTCGGTCCTCTGTGCGCCGCACAGTGGATCGAGTCCATAGGAGCGGTCGGACAAAATTCGGAAACTTTAAACGCTTATAGCTCCGTTTATACAAATCTTCGAAGCTCTAAAAGTGGGTTTACTGGTTTCCTCTTAAAATTTCCTGCTGAAAGCACACCTTGAAATTTAAAATGTGACGAAATAAACATCAAAATTTGCAGTTTTAGTAAAAAAATTCATGTCCGACCTCTCTAATCGACTCGATCCACTGTGCGCCGCGCCGCGCGCCGGGTAAATTGTTAGCCGGGTTCTAACGAGCTGCCTGCGTCTTTTCTCATGTTGGTGCGGTGGAAGCGTGGCGTGGGTGTTAGAGTATACAAAAAAGCTTTCTCCGTTCGGAATGCTTTTCGTGCCGATTTCGTGAAGAAGTGCGTTCTCTGAACTATTCAAATCACGCGCATGATTTTGTTTCTTTTTTTTGTCGTAAAATCCTGCGTTGTAAAGTGAATTTTTTTCTGTTTATGGTAAGATGAAAAATAAAAAATTTAGAAAAAGGGTGCGGAGTAAAACTGTATGTTAAGTTTTTTATGTACATTTATGTTCTACCGCATGCTGTTTTGGAATACAGAACTAAGGTAAATTTTGTCACTACTTCAATTTCTTTAATTTTCATTCAATTATCAATGATTTGTAGATGAGTGCCGGGTTGAGAAGCTCACTTGCCTCACTTTTGCTGGGCACCGAAAACGGGTATCTGCCTGCTCAGAGGCTTTGATTTCAATTTTTCAGTCTCCTGATGGCATATGCTGGCAATCAAACTAAAGAACCTAAATCACGATTTGGGAAAAATGAGATAGGTAGGAAAAATGACGAAAACGAAAACGTATTACGGAATGCGAAAATAGACGTTCAACTTTACCTGTTATATTACGTCGTATAGGGAAATACATTTCAAAATAATTTTTCTCGGTTCGATTTTAATGCGTCAAACAAAGAAGCCAACAATTTTTTGTCAAACTCGGTCCCATTGGGAGAAGTGCTAGAGTTAAATGATAAGTAAAAGAAATTGAGAGCTAGAAAATTAACACAGAGTATGAGAAGCCGGAGGGAGAGGGTCGATAGCAATAATGTGCCACGTAAACCGCACAGGTCAAGTTTTTATCTGAGATAAGCTACAAAGTAAGTAGTCGAAAAATGATTAGTACCTAAGAGGTAACGATACCAAGTATCGTTATTTGAGCCTCCTTCCTGCACGTGCGAGAAATATTAGAGCTACACTGGAAAAAGACACATTGGATCTAGCGTCCAGACTCTTAAAAACATCGACAAGAAAAAATACTCTTGATTCAATCAGATATTTGCTTAAATCAAGAACCAAGCCTCCTAATTTGAGCGGATTTCCTTTTGATTTAAGCGTAAATCTGATTGAATCAAGAGTCCTTTTTCTTGTCAATGTTTTCAAGACTCTGGACCCTAGAGTCTAGATCCAATGAGTTTTTTTTTTTTTTTTTTTTTTTTTTTTTTTTTTTTATTAGTGAAGAAGATAGAGGCTGAGAAGAACGTGCCTACACGATCCTTCAATACAAACAGAGATTGAGTTAATATTTCCCAAATTCATAAAAAACACCGAATTGACTGTTTTTTTTTTGTTTACGATTAGAATCTTATCAAGATACCAGGCCAGGACCAGATTTACAAATTTTTTGTGTACAGGGTGTCTCAGACCACCTGCACCAGACCTTTTTCTCGGTTGTTTTAGGTCACACGAAGTCGGGGATCGCAGGGTTGAATGGAGAATCGATCCCAAGGAATCCGAATTTCATGGATGCTCCCTCAGCCCCCCTCGGGAGGTAAAGGGGGGATGACGATCCCAAAGATAAAATTGCAATTCGACTGCATTGAAATTGAAAAGTACGAAAAATCGCACCCCTTAATGACCCTTATGAATCCCTCTTTGACCATGAAATTGACCCTTAATAATCCAAATTCGGACCACTTTACCCCCAAAAATGATTCCTTAAAGAGGGGGACAGCGGTCCCCTCCATAATTTCTCTTTGGTCAAATATTGACTTAGATTCTCCGGAAAAAGACGGTTTCCCAGGGAATCGACCCCAAGGAATCTGAATATTATGGTCCCGAAGCCCCCCTAGCCTCCCTCGGGGGGTAAACGAGGGAGGCACCATTTCAAAAGTTGAGGGAAATGATAGAAAATTGAAAACAAGTCGTTGAGGGGGAAGGAAAGAACAACTTGATGCGCGGATGATAAATCCGGTCATTTCCAAGTGCCTTGTTAAATGTGAGAAATGAAAAACTAGGAAAGTTACATCTATACTATATCTATACTATAAGCTCCGAGACCTCCTAAATTTGCGAAACTGGTAACGCTTAGTTCCAGCGTTCTACCTGGCCGATTTTCATGATTTTTGCGGCTATCGACGGGCAATTGTCTCTAGATAAGCCAACTCTTTTCAAATTTTCAAAATATGGCCCAGGTTTTTTTATATTACGTGGTAAAGTTGCAAATTCTCCCATTTAAACAATGTAAATTTATACTTTTTGTCATAGTTCGTTTGAGCGTTCTACCGGGCCGATTTCCATGATTTTTGCGTAAATCGACAGGTAATAGGCCCTAGATGAGCCCGCTGTAATCAGATTTTGGAAAAAGGACCCAGGTTTTTTTAAAATCACGTTATAAAAGTGAGTGAGTTTACAGATTGCTCCGGTACTGCTACCGCTATGCGCGGGAGGATGCGCAGTGGTCGAGGAGGTTGCGCAGTAGCTGTGTAGCCTGCGCATCAGCTCTACACTTATCTACACAAGATTCGCACCGTCAATCTCACGCCGAGCGGTAGCCGAGTTGTCTAAGACGCCGAATGTGTCTACTTCATCCTTAGTGAGGGTTCGATTCCTGACTTATTAAGCTCTAATTATTACCTGACTAACATTGTTCATTGTTTTACTGCAATATTTCATCAAGCAGTCATTCCAAAACGCGTCTTTTTAATTTTAAAGTAATTTTAAGTAAAGTTTGAAATTAAAGTATACCTCATATCGTAATTTTTTAGGGGAAAAATAAAACTAACACTGATAGGAGGGTAAAAATAGGGCCGCGAAGCGGCCCATTGATGGCGCGGAGCGCCTTTAGGGGGTTGGGCCGCGTAGCGGCCAGGGGGCGTAGCCCCCTAGTTATAGACTATAGACGTCATGATGTCTGTATTCAATGTGCCGCTTCGACATCTGCTCCGGCGGCTCGGCTTACATGCAGTGTTGCCAGATTCTGACCCTGACATGCCTCTCCTATTCAATACACTCCAAGATGAACTGTCTGAAACATTAAAGTACCCCTCTCATCTGCTTGCACATAATTAAGTGCGTTTCCGTCCGGTCTTTTCTGAACTCATGACAAGTGAATAATACATATTCATACAAGTGGTGTGGTGTGGCGCGCTTTGCAATAAATTG